TGAATGGACTGGGTTTGATCGGATAGATTGGCTCGGCCATGCAGGCGTGGTCCATCTGAATGTTACCTTATATCTTTTGTCCATATTAAATATATTGTTCTTGCTCTAGCCTAAGCTTGTTCTTCACCATGTATTGGTAGTTATTACGATACAGTGAGTTGTTGTAGACGATGATGTAACTTCCACGTAAGATCTTATAGATTAGGCAGTTATATCATGACAAGTCTACAATTTTAAGATTAGGTCTATTATTAGAGCAGTACTAATATCATAGTAGACCATAATTCTACAGTGGTTGTGGCGTTTGTATGAACTTATTATTTTTTATCCGAGGTATGACTGTTCTTGAATTTCAAATACAATACATTCGTTTGTGCTCACTTGGTCCTTCAGGATTTAAGTTGCGTTGTTTTGAGGATTCCTAGTTTGAATAATAATCCAAGTACTTCTGATTAAGGAAACATAAAACGTTTTCTTTACAACACTTACATACCAATAAGCTGTTTGTAAATAATTATGCCAACATTCGAAAGGAATCTCACGAGACGTTTCTCTGCGGAAGAAATATTGTTGTGCGGGGTGTCTCAGAAAACACGGACCCCGGTTATCCAGACTACGATATTCAAAATCGCAAGTTCATAAAGCCGTACTTGAAGCGTAAGGATAGATTGTTCCAACATGTGGTGTAATAAACGGACAAAAACGGTTATTCAAGGTCTTGGCTACTGAAGATGACCTCCCTATCCTCCTCATTGGCGGTTGCCACTGTGAAAACATTTCGTGTCAATAGATATGAGTTACTAACTAGAATCCACATTAATATAAACAGGTCACATGATGCAAAGACTAGGGACGTAAGCAAATGGCTGACTTTTCTTCATATGGACTATGGAAAAATACGTGGGAAGGACAGGGGCGGACCAGTTGAAAACCCTGTGAGGGCGAACTAAGTAGCGTCAATAATACTAATGTAGTAGAAATAAAGTATGGGCATTTTCTCAATATACGGACAACAAGCTTGGAATACTCTGCATATCTGTGTTTTGCAACGACAGAAACACAGAAATGGTTGGTGGAGCTGCAGTTTCGTAGATCCTGTTTGGTTGCGCATTACATGCACGCTCAAGAGTTTATCAATTTTGATGAATCTGCATCGTGGGTGCTCAGCCAAACTTTCCGGCGCCTCGAGATGCTTACTTAGAGTAATCTACAAGGAGACCATAGTATTTTCAAAGTTAACACCTGTACACTGGAGGTGAAAGCTCAGCTGGAGCTCAGTTCTTCAAACTCATTGACGATATTTAGTTATTCGAAAATGTGATGTTAGCAACTCGGTGTTGAAACAGTAAGACGCTGCCACACTTAGACTATATTTACAAACGAAGAATTCCTAATTGACAACCTTTCAATGCAAGCTGACCTGTGAAAAAGTGATCACGCGGTCTATGCACTCGATTTATCAGTATATCTGACTAAAGGAAGCGTAGGAATTCCAAACGTTTGAAAGTATTAGTTGTACAGGACAAGCTACAGCAGGTGGACTAGAAGGTCTGTGGTGCGTGCTCAGTGGGATTTAGGGCACATGATCTGACGCTCTACAAACCAGTCCGTCCCATAAGCGGTCCCAAAAATTACAAGCGACACACAGTCATAAGGAATCGCACTTTTCGAATGACGAGACTCAAAAGGTACAACTGGGCGGGAAATAATTTAGCAACAACAAACAACACATAAGTAAATCAGAGAAGCAAGGAACCAATGTACAAATCAGATAAAAGAAGACGGGCTTCAGTGTCAGATCAAGCCAATTTATCAACAATCAGAAAAGCTCATTACATCTTTCCCTCCCCCAATCGACAATACAAAACTGAATTTTCCCAGTTGTTAGTTCCCAACGGTTGTGACGATATTGACATTTTGACAAGACTATATTTTCAAGCAGTCGCGTACAAAGTGTATCAACAGAGGCTTCACCTGCAGCTCAATGTGAACCTGAGCAATGACTTGGTGTACCAGAAATTTCAGCATCTAAAAAAGTCACACTTCTCATAGCTTAGATATTGTTCATCCTCATATACCGAAGGATAAAACTTCAGTCCTGGCAAAACCGCTTAGCGTGATGTTCTCATATTCGCTAAGCCGAGGCACTGTACCATAAAATATGAAGCTGGTTCACATCACATCAACTTTCGAAGGAGCTCAACACTGATCCTTCAAGCTACATGCAGGTAGCACTTCTTTCAATACCCTTAACATTTATGGAGTACTTGATACACGGTGGTTTATTTGATTACTTGTTATCCATAAGCTTCTTTTCATCCTAACAGCACGGTTTCAGGAAGGGTCTCTTCTGTATAATCAACCTGTAGGCCACGGCAGACACATGGATAACCACACTTGAAGAATTTTGAGATCATATACCTTGGCTTCTTACAAGAGTTTGATAGGGTCGATCATATACATCTTATCAATAAGCTCAAAAGGTTAGGTGTCAATTCACTAATAACAGATTGGTTCATTTTATATCTGTATAACCTGAATTCCGGCGAAATGTCTGTAAACAAGTTGATGAACTGCTATTTCAAGAGGATCTAAATCATCTTCAAACTTGGTTGGATTACGGCGGAATTAATTACAACACCTAAAGGTACGAAGTAGTTCATCTGAAATATGTTGTAGAGTACGCATCCAACTAAGGTAAATCCCCTCTAAATGTATCACAAGTTGAAAAAATCCAGGAGTCTTTGTACCCTGTGGTCTGAAGTGTTACTCTAAATTAGACAAAAATGCCTTTTTTGCAAACCTTGCACTCGTAACGTTGAAACGCATTTTCGGTCAGTTCAACTGTCCACCTTTTCAATTAAATCTCAGCAGCTGTATTAGACCCCATCTAAAGTATGTAAATATTGTGCTTACTTTCTCACTCAAGGAGAGTAATAATACGCTGGAGCGAACTCACAGGTGAGCCAAGAAATCAGCCCGGTGACTCGAATACAAACCAGATGAATATAGCTTAAAACCAATGAACCTCTACCCATTAGAATGAATCATGAAGACGCCTTTACTCTTTACGCGTAGTCAAGTTTTTAAATTCTTCGCCAATCGAGGTGATCTAAGAGACTTCTCAGGAGTCTTTGACAGGTAACTTGATATATTCTTAAGAACTGTATTTCACTATGATTTATATTATTTTTCTTTTATTCAATAAAAATACGTAAGTTATTACCCGAATACACCACTGATCCTCTGCTACTAGATACAGAAGCCTGTTAAGCGGAAGCTTCCATCTTGTCCAGATCCGTTTGAACCATCTGAACATTTGGTACCGCTGCTTACAAGTGTCGCGCTACGGAGCACGGTAAGTAAAGGCTAGTGTTGTTTTGGTCGGGAACGTTGGTCTCAGAGGGTCTTGTTGATAATACGAAAAATGGAGTTTAGGTTTACGCGTGGGGGTTCCTATTTTCTGTGGTACTGTTTGATTAGAAGTATTTTGAGCATAATTGTTTGCCATTTAAGGCTTTTGACTAATTAAACCAACATGAGCGAGACATCTTCCTGCCTCAGTGGTAGAAGCTAGTATTCTAAAGGGTGAATGACTGAAAATTGTAATCAGAGCTTCATTAGAGTTATCACTTATAAGATAAATATACCGTTTTTCCTCATCTAACAATGGTAGATCCGGATATAACTCAGTTCTGAATGTCTCGTCATTTATAACTATAGATTGTTCTGATTGTGGATCGTTCAATAAAAAGTTCAGCGTTTCAGCAGCATGGTAAAATTACATGTCCGAGTATTCTATTCTTCAGGCTAATCCATTAAAGATAGGTTTGAGTTAAAAGATTGGGTTACGAACAGAGTTACGGTTTTCATCACAAACTGACATATGTTATAATCCCGAAATGTTATTTTGCCATGCAAACGAATAAATTTAGCGTCAACACTCAAGCTGCTAATTGCTATAGTGTTCTTACTTTCTTGAATCTTGCCAGGTTATCAATAAAATCCATCCTTTATGATAGTGCTTCTTGAGGCCCAGAACCTCTTGGCATAATGAATTCAGTGCTTCATAAATCCGTCCTCAGTTGTTCTCCATAGTGGTTTCCCCTCTGAGTGAATCTTGTAAGGCGTTGAACCCATTTCTGAGAGCTATCTTTGATTCAGTTTATCATTATCTCATAGGAAGGCTGTGCGAAATTTTTGTAATGCTGTTTCTGCAGTTGTCCAATGCTTCTTCGGCTTCGGTTCCATCTTGACAGCCACCAGACGGCAACCTGAAGCTGCCAGTTCCTCAATTTTCTCACATCCTCCATAGATCCGAATTTTTCATTTATGCAAATATGACCGACCTGGTTCTCTGGTGTGATCCAGTGAGACCTATGTAGCCTAGTGTATGTATCTGTGAGGTAATGTAGGGCCACTTACAATTGTTTTTTGAAGACACATAAGTTTACAAGTCTATCTTCATTTCTTTCTCCAAGTTCATGTCATCCCATGGTGTTGTTAATTCCGACTGACATCTGGGCTCCCCATCAAGATGGTCAGGTCCTTTTCTGGGAATTTCTCTACGATCGACAAATCAGACTCCACTTGGTGCTAAGTTAGACATGACAAGTGTTGCACTGTTATTTGAACTTCAAACTTCAAGCATTTGCTGCGAAAACTCGACAAACACTAGTCTTCAGCCCATAGTCTTGCTTTAGTAATATGTTGAAGCTTTTCGTGTGAGATGCATAACATTTATACTCAGGGAAATCAATTTAGGGGTCACTTTTGTCTTTACCGTCACAGTAGTACCCACGTATTATTCACTTTTCAAACTGTTTCTTAGCTCCTTTTATTCACTTTAACAATCTTTTTCAGGGTATCATATTGTTTCACGAACTAATTAGTAATAAACTATACTTAAACCATCTGATATTATCATAGCTTGAATATAATTATAGCTTTAGAAATAATGGAAGCTATCCACAATATTGTTATTCCTATTATTTGTTTTAGGGTTTCAGAAGGGAAATGGTTATTTTGTTTGTCTCCCTGTTTTTTTTCCCGACAACAATATTAACTCAACACTCAGATACTGTGGTCGGCTGTGGTGGCTTTATAAGATGGAAAGAAGCTCATCCCGATTCTGTACTTGATTTCAGAAAGCTGAAAATAAGTCTGTTCTCAGAAACTACTAGCACATTAAAAGATGTAACCGATGTTCTCCCTAACGGAGCTTATTCTGTTCCGTTATATGATGAGGGCGTTTACAGGATTAGGTTAACTACTCCTAAAGGCTGGCATATTGAACCGTCTGATGGCTACGTTTTGGATTTGGAGAAAGATCCGAGGGCTTGTTTCAAAGATTTTGACTTCAGCATAGTTGGATTCTCAATTTTCGGGCAGGTAAGTTCTTGTTTCACTTATAATTAAAAACAACTACTTAGGTAACTACTTCTGGAATGAAGACCGGGCCACCTGGTTTATCAGTTCGATTAACTGACCCTACCTCTCACAAACCAATGCTTCATAATTTTACACAGGATCAAGGTCATTTCATGATATCTCCTGTGACTCCTGGTAACTATTTATTGACCGTCAGCAATCAAGATCGTAGTGATAAAGATCATACAAGAGCATCTATCAATATTAAAGTCCAGTCTGATAGTATCAACTTGCCAGAACCAATCATTTTACTTGTAAGAATCTATTTTTATCGAACTATGTAGTGTGAGATAACTCAGGATATAAATCCCATCCATCATTTTAATAATCAGATTGTGCACATGACAAATCAAAGCCATAATCGTCAAAAATGTGATACTATTTACTCATTCACTTGGAAGTGGATGATTAATTTTGTTTTTTTTCTTATGTAGCGAGATTTCAGCCATGCCACCTGTCATCAATGTTATCCCGACCGAAGCTCCTACCTTCACGCGGTGGTCGGGCTTGCCTATCGTGATGACCCAACCGAGCTATATTGGCTGGAACATATGTTCCTGTAGGTTCTACCATGCCAGGCAGGTCGATTGGAGAACGGTAAGACTAAAAGCAGCAACTCAAGGTCTGAGGGCGAAGTCGTACTGCTGACTGTAGAGAGGTGTGACAGCAGTAAGGTGTTTCCCTCGGACAACCAGCATGACAGCGATGCTGCCTTCCCACAAGGAGGGGTGGGGTTAGAAAAGGTCGACCCTAAAAATGTCACACCTCACCTTACCTCACGGATTTCCGTCTCCGGCGGTAAGGCCCTTTGAAGAACGGAGCTAACACGTTAAAAACCTTCCACGAAAAGGCCGTGCGCGACCGGCCTCAAGCAGTTGTCCCTTGGGCTCTGCGGTCACGCTCCCAGGTCGTTAAGACCAACACTAATCCAATTTCCTTTTCAGGTTCCTCAAGAAATACCCTTCCACGGTGTGGGCAGCCGGGAAGTGATATCAGCCCTCATACCCGTAACAGCACACGAGACCAAGTTGGTCACATTCAAATCCTTCCTACACCTCCTAATACCTCTCTTATCTCCATGACTAACCCTCCTCACGTCTCTTTATCACCTCGCACCGCTAGGGCAAACGATTCGAGTACGCGGAACGTTATTCCTGGTCTCCTGAAACCACGCTCTAAACTACACGTAGGAGCTTTTAACGTCCGAACACTGTGCCAAATAGGACAACAGGCTTCCTTAGCTAGGACTTTAGAATCCCGCGCCATCGATGTGTGCTGCGTCTCCGAAACGCGCATACAGGATCCGAGTAGCGTCATTCATTTGACCTCACCATGCCAAAATAAAGAACCGACTCGATTCACACTTCGTGTATCTGGAAGCCCTGATTCTGCTTCCCGTGGCCTCGCCGGCGTAGGTATAGCATTGAGTCCTAGGGCAGAACTAGCTCTCTTAGAGTGGATCCCAGTAGACAGTCGTTTGTGCGCTGTCCGACTGAACGGAACAGTAAGGATCCGAAAAGATAGGGACACTCGTCGTTGCCTCTTCGTCGTCTCTGCCTATTCTCCCACTGACTGCAGCTCAGATGATGTAAAAGATGAGTTTTACAGAAAGCTCTCCGACCTTCTCCGAAAAGCTAGGCGTTCGGATGTAGTAATAATGGCCGGTGACTTTAATGCTCAAGTAGGTAAACTAAGCGATAGGGAAAGACACCTGGGTGGATCTTATGGTCGTGGCTCAAAGAACAGATAATGGCGACCGTCTGTTGCAGCTATGCTCAGATAACCGCCTGTTTCTTGCAAATACTAACTTTAAGCATAAGGAAAAACATCTTTTAACATGGCGACCCCCGAATTCGTCCCAACGTTGGACCCAAATAGATCACATCGCTATCAGCCACCGATGGAGGGGCTCGATAGAAGACTGTCGCTCATTCTGGAGCACATGCTTAGATTCAGATCATGCTCTAGTACGAGCGCGTATCTGTCTGCGTCTTACTGGACGTAGGAAAGACGCTGCAAGGAAACCTCTTAGGGCCTACTTAATGATAGTCAAGCTAAGAGTATATTTCAGGAACAACTAGGAAAACAGTTAGGCAGCCATGTATGTGATGCCCACCCCGAGGCAGCATGGAATGATATCCGAAAAGCTGTGGAAACAGCAGTGATATCTGCTAGTAAGGTAACCCGTAAGGTTAGGGAGCAACACTGGATCTCAGCAGCATCTATCGCACTGATAGATGCTCGGAAACTCATTCCACCTGGCTCTGAACATAATGAAGAGCGGAGTCAGCTTAAGCGCAAGCAGACAATTGTTCAGACTTGTTAAGGAAACCGACCGTTAGCGAAACAATCTCAGAGAAAGATGGACATATTATACATTCTCAATCCAGGAGATTGGATCGATGGGCAGAACACTTCGGGGATCAGTTCAACTGGCCTTCAGCCACACTTCGGTTTCCCACGATCTCCAGTCAACCTGAATGGCAAGTTAATGTAGGTCCTCCGTCTCTTTACGAAGTTGAAAAAGCCATAGGAAATCTGAAGCGAGGGAGAGCAGCAGGCCCTGACAGGTTTACTCCTGAGATTTTTAAGGATGGTGGTCCAGTATTAGCAGCGAGATTAACTGAGGTCTTAGGTAGAATTTGGGAACTGGACGTAATCCCATCTGACTGGTCTCAATCACTGATTGTGCCAGTTTTAAGAAAGGACAAAAGTCCTCTTGTGACAATCACAGAGGAATCAGTTTGACTAATATAGTGTCTAAAATATTAGCTTCAATAATACTTCGACGCCTAACTAAAGCTCGTGAAGAGCAGACTAGAGAAAATCAGGCTGGTTTTCGACCTGGACGTGGTTGTATAGATCAGATATTCACACTACGTCAGGTTCTAGAACACAGACACACATTCAGACGCCCCACAATGGTAGTATTTCTCGACCTTAAGGCGGCATTCGACTCTGTTGATCGTGAGGTTCTATGGCAGTGTTTGTCACTGAAAGGAGTACCAAAGAAGTACATTAACCTTATAAAGGCTCTCTACTCGAACACAACTGGTAGAGTGAGAGCTTATGGCGAACTGTCATCAGAATTGATTACCTCAAGTGGTGTTCGTCAGGGCTGTCCACTCTCCCCATTCTTGTTCAACTTTGTCATTGACGTACTTTTAGAGATAACACTTTCCTCATCTAAATTTCCAGGGGTTGAACTTCTACCGGGAGGTTCACTTGTTGACTTAGAATATGCTGATGACATAGTTTTATTTGGTGAAGACGCTGACAAAATGCAGAGTCTTCTGACCACTCTAAGCAACAATGCAAGCATGTTCGGGATGCGATTCTCCCCCTCGAAATGCAAAATGTTGCTTCAGGATTGGGTTGCATCGACACCCGAACTAATGATAGGGAGTGAAGTAGTTGAGCGTGTCGACCGCTTCACTTATCTTGGAAGTCTCATCAGCCCTTGTGGTCTGGTGTGTGACGAAATCTCAGCACGGATACAGAAGGCTCGACTAGCTTTTGCCAACTTGCGTCATTTATGGCGTAGGCGAGATATCCGTCTATCAACCAAAGGACGTGTTTACTGCGCAGCAGTTCGTTCCGTCCTACTTTATGGCAGTGAAACATGGCCGGTAAGAGTAGAGGATATTCGTAGGTTACTAGTATTTGATCATAGGTGTCTTCGAAATATTGCTCGTATATCGTGGGACCATCGAGTAAGTAATGCAGTTGTTAGGAAACGGGTACTAGGTAAGGATGGCAAATCAATTGATGACGTAGTGAAACTTCATCAGTTGAGATGGCTTGGACACGTGTTACGTATGCCCAACGACCGACTGCCTCGACGTGCTATGTTCAGTGGTATAGGAGTAGGTTGGAAGAAAGCTAGGGGCGGCCAGACCAAAACATGGCACAAGTCCATGAAGTCACTGACAAGTGGTCTGAGTCATGTTGGTAGGTGTAGACTACCTGGTTGGGGACCGCGAGATGATAGCAACCGATGGTTAGAGACCCTGAATGACATGGCTCAAAATCGTTTGCAATGGCGCAGGTGCATACACTCTTTGTGTTCTCCCAAATTTTGATCTCCTTATTCCTCCTTGTCTCTTTTTTTCTCTTCCCAAATTTATTTCACTGTATTATACTCTTTAAATAACATCTCCAAACCCTAATCTTTCGGCTTACTGCTTATAGTCTTACCGCCCTAACACTAAGGGATTTGAATCGACCACTGCATCTCTATGCTAATGTGGTGTGGCAACTCGAACTGATATACGTACGTACGTACGAAGTTCTACGTTGTTACTGACTGACTCATTGTTATACATCTGAATTTAAAGGCTAGTAATAAGATACTTCCGAGGATTGTCAAAATAATGGATGCATGGCTGAGTGATTGATGATATGAGGTGACATGGCTTAGCCCAGTGATTGCAGTTCACATTACCGGATTATTTAATTGATCTTCCAAAGGACCAGATATCAGAAGAAGAAATACCTGACCAACAAAACAAGCTTTTTATCCAACAAAATGACATATTTAGGTAATAAAGGTAAACGTGAAATCATTTGACACTTGCTTAATGAAGAGTTGAAGACTCCGCAGGTCACTCAAGTAGCAGTTACATTAAAACATACCTGTCAAGTTTCACTCTCGTATAATGTATCATTTAAGGCATGATCGTAATAGTAACGCAGATTCTCCTTCGTAATCACGAAGTCCTTTGAACTTGGTGTTACACGGCTTTAAAAAATCCTCAGTTGTATTAACACTGTTCTGGGGTTATACTTTATATATTGTTATATTTGAATGTTGCTGAAACATGATGTGTTATTTATGTCAAACACTTGTAAGGATCCACTTGAGTTAAAGATTTCCATTTTTTGAACAAATACCTATAATGAAGATAGATAAAATCCGAAAGGATGGGGTGCTCTGATAAACATTTCTAGCACGTCCATCGGTATTGGAATAAAGAGGTTTCCAAAGTTTATGTAGGTCTTTGGTACACCTTTTAATTACAGACACTAAACCTCTCGGTTTATGGAGTCGGTTGCAGCTCTTAAATAAAGAAATCTTACTTGTCAGCCGTCTGTAAGTGTGCCTAAGTTTCGGAAACTGATAGAGAGTGAATATTTGGTTGAAACATCTATGATCAGATGTGGAACCAACCTGTTGTCCCAGGATTTGCTCCTAACGAGCCCTAGTTAAGCGTCAGATTATTAAAAACACTGATATTTTCGATTGGATCAATTCCTTTGTGGCTATCAAAAATCATGAGAAAGGATTGATAATGGGAACTAAATAAATGTCAAAAAGTGAGAAAAAGTAAAAATGACTAACTTTAGTGTTGCTAGATGCTGCTCACGTGATTAGATTTCTAAATTCATCTTGCTTGGAGTTTTAACTACTTTGAACTCTTTTTCAGCTTATTTAGTTGGTAGTAGATTAGATCTTATGACGACTAAATAATGCCTGTCTTTTTTACATTACTTATTGATGGGAAGATAGTGTTTAACAATTGAGGAAGTATGTAATTAGGAGTTCAGAGACGTCTCACAGTTTTGTTATAATTTCATTCATTATTTTAAGTTATTTTCCTCGTGAAAATGATGAAAAGTATAATATTAAATACGTCTTATCTAGTATCAAGTATTTTGTTGAATATAAATGAAAGAACGAAACAAATCCATGAACATCTTTATTTCCTGTTAATGTTAATTACTGATATGTTTATTCTCTATGCTTAGGGTCATTTTCTCCGTGGACGTGTGACAGACTTCAATCAGAATCCTTTGGCCGATGCAAAAGTTTTCCTGTTATGTGATAAAGATAAGACATTATCGAAATCCTCCACCACTCTAGACAAGTCAGTCTATTCACATATAGTCGAAGCACTTGGTGAAATGCATTATAAATTTTTAACAATACAAGAGGTCAGAAAATACTTCTTAAGTTCTTTTATTATTCATTTTCATTAAATTTATTTACAATGGTTGCTAGTTTCAACAATAAATCAAAGTAACTATCACATTGTTATGAGTTACCATCAATTAGATGTTACAGCACTCTGAGAGTTGAGGACCTAGCAACCAATTATTTGTCTGTAAAGATGTCCGGTTACACATTTTGATACCTTGCGTACTTTGGTTTAACAAACATCACAGTTACATCCAGATCACTAGTTGTTTTGGTATCCTCTATTGTCATACTTCTTATGGTGACTATGAATATATTACGTTTTTATTGTAGTCTTCAACAGACTCAGATGGCTATTTTACGTTTGATCGTCTACCGGGCGGCAGTTATCTTCTTGTACCCTTATATACGCCTAAGAAGTCCGGGGTCGTTTTTTCATTTACTCCGAAATTCCTCCCGGTAGCAATGGAGCACACAGATGTGGATCTTGGGCCTGATACGTTTACATTGCAAAGCTTCAAACTTAATCCAGGACGTATCACGTGGCCGAACGGTGTTCCGATATCATCAGCTAAGGTAAAGAAACTTTCTTAACTCTATGTTTGTAGTAATTGTTTATCCAGAAGCTTCTGTTCAACGCTTTTCTTTATCCATGTATTTACGTTTACAACAGTTAAGTCTTGGGCTATTATATGAAAGAAACAGTTGCACGTGAAGATATGTTGAACATGGTTTGATATCAATAGTACTGATGTTGATTAATGCTTGTCATGATGTTTGATTCATTTTCAAAATACTGAGAAATCTGTATTCGGAAGTTTAAATTGTATTTATCGGTTTAGGTTTCATTTAAAACTTCACGTTAGGACTTACTCTAACTAGCAGGAAATTGTTTCACTTCACTTAACTGTGGGATTGGAAACAAGGAAAATTATATTTTTCGAAAAATACCATTGTATTTTCTTACATGAAAACGTTAACAGAGTAGTTGTTAAATCTGTTATTTTGTTGCCTTACCATGAGGTTATTTAAAAATCTTAGTTTAGGATGTAAAATCTATATTTTTTCCTTACGTGAACTCAAAAGTTTGTTACGTACAAAATTACTGTAATATTCTTCACTTTGAATCTCGCATTTTGCTATTAAATTCTATCTAATTCTGAAATAGTTTTTGTCAAGCGCTTTTACGGAATCGTTCATACCAGTTAATCATAATACAGTTGACTGCACAATAATCTTTTATACATTTGTTTATGTGGTTATTAACGTCAGTATGTCAGTTACAACGTAGGACCTGACATGTATGTTCATCGGTTCAGGCTCCCATACTCCATTAGCGCAGAGAGATGAAACTGTCCAAGATATGGCTCAAGAAAAAATAAGTTACTGACATAGAAACAAAAAACGTCATGAGAAATTCAGGAGTTCAGAATTTGCGGGAAGAAAAGAATGGATACACCTGCGTCATTGAAAACTATTTTGAGTCATATCAAAGTTTTTGACCATTATGTTAACGTCAATATTGTGTGATTGTAAATATTCAAAAAATTGGCATATAAACTTCTCCATACCTGTATTTTTGCTGTATAGTATAAACATTATGGTCACTGTTATGCATATTTATACAATTTTAAACTATGCACTATTAAATTCCTTGTCTCAATCCATAATGGCTGAGTTCAAATTTTAAGAACAATTGTCATTAGTTATCTTTATGTTTTTACAATATTATATTCCATAAACTTATTATACCATGTCTGAATAATTTTTACATCTAGATTACAATTACTACTAATACATCACAACAATCTGTATTAACAGATGGTAATGGATTTTATCAACTGAATCACGTAATTGCAGGGGACTATAAATTTCAGGTATATTTTAATTACTTATTATTGACTTAATATAATGACAACAATTTTAGTGTATGTACATTGTGAATTTAATATTATCTTTGCAATTAATCATCTTCACTTGGTATTGTTTTGGTTGTATCTTCCCATTGAGGTTTAAGACTGCAGTTGATCAGTCTGTTATTGACATATGTGCATATTGTGTGTATGCTTCGATACTGCATTAATTCACAAGCTTTTATGAGCAAAGATGGATAGTAGCTAGCAGTAGGATCCAGGACGCGCGTTTCGTCCTATTTGGGACTCGTCAGCTGTATGTACCTGCATCTCAGAGTTGATGTTCACTCTGGAACTCGAACCCAGTACCATTCGCTTCAAACGCCATCGCGTTATCCACTCAGCTACTGAGTCCTGATAGCCACTTGCTTGTGCAGTGGGGTGAATTTAAATTCACTTGGTATTGTTTTGCTTGTATCTTCCCATTGAGGCTTAATTAATCATTTTGTTTAGAATTATGTTTCTTCTTGTGTAGTGTTACATAATATAAACTGTCCGAAGAAGAAATGGACCATAGAAACTGGTTTTATTAGTAGTAATAGTATAAGCTATAGGTACGAAAAGTAATTGTAAAAATAATGGTAACTACATAGTATGGGAGTTATTGGTGAAATGAGAGAACTATTATAAATTGGATGAATTCGCGTATTATCTGACACATATTCTCAGAGTTCCACTTTTTAGAAACAGAATAGCAAGTGTTTAGCCTCTTATTTTTTCTTACTATATCTGCTCTCAAAATTCCATTGGGGAATCTAAGACATATCAAGTCAACCAAATTGGGTTTGAAACATTAACACTGTTAATATTTGTCTAGAATCTCTCTGTGTCACAGATCAACTTTAATTCAGAGGAAGGCATATCTTTGCGTTCTCACTCAATAGTCTGAAGAGATGGCGGTCTTTACAAGACGCGGGTTTTTTAGTTCGGTCTTGTGCTGGGAGTGCGCTAAGTTAATTTAACACGTATGGTTTTCTGTCCCTGTTTATGTTACTTCCATTCGTTGTTTTAGTCGAAATAAAGCATGGCTTAGGTAAGATTTATTATATTTCGAAAAAAAGTTTTAAACCTCTGGCGGTAGTTACCAACAGTGTTAACAGTTCATACTGTTCTTATACAAGTTTCAAATTTCGATGTTTATCTAGAGATAAGGTGTATAATTCAAGGTTTTCGTCCAACGTAATTTAAACACTATCTTGTTTATCGATTGTCTGATGTCGTCATGATGTTGGTAATCCATTTGCCAGAACATTTTTTTCTGTGTTTTATTGGTTGAAATATCAGGATTTGGAAAAGATATTTCCTTTCAGATCTTGTAACTTGGTTAGAAAAAACTTACATGTACAGTGAACGACATCTCTTATAGCTTACAGTTGGTCTTTAAGAAAAGAAATACTAATATCATATTAAAATTTATTCCATTTCATTTGTATTTCGTTCCAATCCTATCAATCATAGGTCGAAGTAGAAAACGCTTTCTTTGAAGCTTATTCAATAAATCTAAATCATTTACTAGAATCTCTTCCAAGCTTAGTTCCTGACAAGGTTTCTGTATGTGGAAACTTAATCCCAGCTGATACATCATCAGATTTAAAAGTAAGAATACGATCCATTTATTGATAAATTTTTTTAATTGTTTACTTATTACTACTGTGGTGTATGGTACTTGTATGGATTTGAAGTAGGATCTCTACTGACAGAAGAGGAACATGAGGAAAAGAGAAAACAAATTAGAAACAGTCCGAATAGTTACAAGAATGAGAGAACGATGAAGCTTGTAAAAGACTAGTCAAGGAAGATGTAAATTATATATTCAATGTATTGTTCCCATATTTTGCAAATAGTGCGATTTTGCTGAATAGAAACTGCTTTACCCTACCTGAATCTTCGTTCATTACAGTACATGTCATATCATTTATGATTGTTTTGTAAGTAGCTAATCTCTCATTGGCTTATCAAATCCATCACATTATTTGAGTTTGTTTTATAAACCGTTTCTGTTTTTGCAAAACAATGTTCACTAAAAATTGTGTTTACCAAATATTCAATGGTGGTCGTAAGTAGATTTGATTTCGTAAATAGTTAGTTGCGAGATATTTCTTCAAAACGTCTGTCTGCTAAAAAGTGTCTTATGAACTCAGCTCTCCAATGCCATAGTACGGTCGAGGGTGAGGCTATTCTTTACAAAATCAAAAGAAGTGAGTGTCCGCCTCTTAAAGAATTGGGAAAACGTGATTCCAAACTAATGGTGCACATTAGCTCCAAAATCTTGAGGGAGAAAATGGTGTATGATTCTATTGTTGGTCACCGGCTACCACGAGACTGCATCTGACGTCACTCCATCGCCTTGTGAACTAGACATCTGAGTCAAAATCTTGGTGACTGGCCCCCTCAAAATACTACTTTTTCGGTTTGGGCACCCGGACAGTACTCTAGCTCACACAGAAATTTAGTGGTAACTAATTTGTGTAGGACATATATATTTTGATGCCCATCTGTGCTTATGTTTGTGTTTTGATAAATAAATAAACTTTGAGTAGATTCCTACATAATTAATTTCATTCCTCTCACATCAGCCTTATAAAACATTTAATTTTCTGGAAATGTGCCAAACGGCATCAATACCCTTCTCACGAGAAGTGTGACTTAAAGCTGAGTACATAAGGTCGTACTTAGAAAATAAGTTACGGTAACCTATTATATATCAGGGATAAAAGTAAATTAATGTTTTAAATCGTATGACGAGAATTTTATTAAGTGTGTGTAATCATTGCGTTAATAAATTGCTGAATTTTCATCTTTATTCTTACAGCTTAAAGTATACATCGTTGTTCGTAGTGTTGACAACAATTCTGAAATCAAACGAGTTGAAACAAATCTAGAAGATGGGATATTTAAATTCTGTGCTTTTCTTAATCCTGAACGTTATTCATTACATCCAGATGTTTCACTGTTTGGAGTAAATCAACATTCTGATAAAATACTACGATTCACTCCTTCGGAAATAATGGTGAGTTACCATAAAACATAAAAGGATATTTGGTTTTCAGTGTTAATAACATTATTAGTATTGTTTGTTATCATTATATTCAACCTCATAATGGTAACTTATGATTTGGGTACTTGATGGTCTTCACGATTGACTAAAATAAAAAATTTCAGAATCATTCGATCTATAAATAGTCAGTTAGTTTTAATAGAAAATAAACAATCTCGCTCCACAATGTTTTATTTATAATATATTAGTAACTTTAAATGTTATATTACGTGGTAAAGAGATGCAATTGTGTTGTTAGCAGTGAGACTTACAACGAAAATGATAAAATTATATTGTTAGTCATAAATGAAACTTAATTGGTGGAGTAACATAAATTTATTATATTTCATAACTTCTTATCAGTTGCAGATAGCTTAAATTGACAGGTACATCTAGCTAACATCTCGTAAATAGGGCGAAACGCAAGTTCTGAATTTCACTGCTAGCCACCATTCATTTTTGCTTATAATTCTTTTGAATTGATGGTAATATGAATGGAAATAAATTGTTGGCGAATGGGTAATAATCAAAGCATCCAGTTAACGTCGTAAGTAATTGTTAGTGGAATTTGTTCTTATTTTAGGCTATAAAATACCTATAAAGCGATAATTTAATCAATAAAAGTTAAAATAATATGATTATCTTATCATGGCAATGAGAGGTTTACCGCACTTAATGTCAATGGCCTTTGCAAAGAGGAATAAAAGTAATGTTCCCTGCTTGTTAGTTATTTTAGACGCCTTTGTGATTACCACGTTATGTACACCACTTATTATATATCTAGTAATCGCATTTGTGAATACTTTGCATTCATTTCCGATGTTAACTTGAATTTTTATGTCAACTGGGTGTTTTGATTATTACTCACTTGTTAACAATTTCTTTTGACTCACTATAACTTCACTCTCATTTTCATGAATTTATCTTCAACATGTAAATACTAGTCGCTCTCAACTCTTGTTAGACGTTGGTGTACCAGACTGAAGATCCTGATTTTCGTTCCCGCGTGCGGTGTCGTCGATGCGTACTGCTGTCTCGTCCCATACTAGGATGAAACGGCCGTCCAGTACTTGCAGGTTTTCAATCGTGGTCTAACATTGATCGGTTCATGATTTCAATGAACCTTAACCATCTCCACAATTTTATACTGATATTATTAAATATATTGTTATCTCTTCTTTTTTGCTATATTGCTTCGTACTGAACTTCATTGATCACGGTATATAAGACACTACATAATAATTTAACCAATGTGAATTTGGGCCATTTTCAGCTGATGAGAAGCCATGAGATATTGTGAATTCATATTATTTTGTAAATCTTGTTCTTCTCACTTTATTTATGTACGTGTCTTGATAAACCAATCCATACAACTGTTACTGTAGCTCAATTACTAGTTATATCTGTACAAAATATGTAACACTGTTCGACCACTCGATTGATATTTATATTTCCAGTGTAGAGTTGTGGAGATTATTGAATTTCATTGAAGTAACGAACTGATCTAAGTTAGATCACCATTGAAATCTTGGAAGCACTGAACTGCCCTTTCGCCCTAGTATCGTAGTAGTGTACATCCACGGGAATCAAACCCAGGACCTTCGGTCTTGCGCACTAACGCTTAGCTTCTAGAGCACCGAGCCAGCATCTAGTACTTCGAAGTTTGCAATGGTTGTCTAACTTAGATCGGTTCTTGACTTGAATGATATGTGGCTGAAGTGGTTGTTTACTGTGATTGAATTTAATGAAAAAGTTGATTGCAACCAATTGAATGTGCTCACAAGAGATTGGTACTAATTAGCAGAAACTTACTATGAAGACCGTGGAAGATTCATGGCCACAATGAGTGACCATTATTGAGACTTATATGTCATGGTAATACCGTTATCTCTAACGATACAACCTTCTGGGCAATGAGATTGTTGAGTAAAATCTACTGCAATATCTGCGTCAAATTACTTAGTGCACTAAGCTTTCGTACTAGAATCTGACTCTAAAAAGATTTTATTGATGAATGCATAAAATACATTCATTTGGAATTATACGAACTTATTGTGGCTAACTAAAATCAACTCGTGTTAGCGAATATGTACTGTAGTGAACGAGAACACACAACTAAATGTGTTTTAACACAACAGTACAGGATACCGTGGTAAAAACTGAAAACCATTCAGTTATACTTCATCTGCAAAACATCTATTAATTGTCTCGGATTTTATTGTTCCTTCGTTTCCACATCATTGATTCTTTGTTCTCGTCCTCTTCTATTGGATCTTCTTAACTCACTACCGCCATACATTTCACTTCCGACTGATAATACATACTACTTATATCTGTCGACACCAGTAGCACACACCCCAGTATAACATCCAATGTGAAAATGTACTAAATCGTTTACTTGTAGGTTTTCCTTGACTTTGTGACGTTTTTAACTGAATAGCTAAATTACTATCAAATAATATATCTATCATAATATTAATTGTTTTTTCAACGTACAGGAAAAATTTGAAATCGTGTGAAGATTTTGCTTTATCTAACTCAAGTAAATGTAATTAGTCTATACTTCATTGAAATATGAAATTGTCGACTTAAATTTGTCACCGTATGCATCAGCTTTTATTTATTAATATTTTTCTATCGGATGTACCTAATTCATATTTCATGCAAAAAAGGCTATTGGAATACTCATGGGTTTTATTCAGTTTGTATATTGCTCGTATCAGCATCCAAATATTATAATCTTTTACACCATAGAATGCTAATATAATATGAAGCTATTGTTTTAACATTTATTTTCTCTCTAGGTTGATCTAACTGGTTCTCCTGTAGTCAATGTAACATTTTCTCAGTTTCGAGCTAAATTGTTTGGGAGAATTAATTGTTTACTTCCATGCTCTTATTACAAGACACCGGTTTATGCTCAACTGACTTCACTGCACTCAAATACAATTCAGCCAAAAATATATGAATTTATACCTAGTAAAGTAAGTGATAACAACATTTTCACGAAATGTTTCTTGAGAATCGAAAAAAAAAACGGTTAAATTTAATCCAATCCGTTTGCATGTTACTTAGTATTGGTGTTGTAATTAGCTAGTTATTCACTGGCCTACCTCGATAGGCAATACTTAGGTAGCATAAAAGCAGATGCGTAGAAATATAAGTGGAGAGATACTAAGAAACACCAAACACAAAGTCGTTGACCTTAGATGTGTTGAAAAGTGCAGAAAAGAGCTTGAAATTCGCGAAGCAGTCATAATTTATGGTTGGGAAAGACTCGAAATTGGTCACGTTTTCCTGCATCAGTACATTAATTTTTACTGAGCGGTGGATTTTGCTGGTTGATTTCAGTAATGGCTTAGTGGTTAAGACATTAGACATTCAGTCACCAAGTTTCGGATTCGAACGCCGCTCCACCCATTTCGGCTTTGGCAGCATGGCAGTATCATTAGCCTTTACACTTAGATTATGGCTCATACTCAAGTGCCTGGTGAACGTGTTCATTAGTTGTGTTTTTTTACAACAGTTGGTTCGTTTCCCTTAATTGATGCCACATTCATTTGAAGTCTGTTGTTTCAAGATTTGACTGAAAAAGTCACTAAATTCATGTACCGGTGAACTCACGTCTGTTAATTGTATTGTCGTTTTGTTTTGTTACATAGACTAACTTGCATGTAGCTTTTTTCAAAGCTGAAGAGATGCTTCCAGGTGATTATGCTATTCAGGTTGTTTTCTATATGGGCTCTTCACTTACTACAATAAACAGTTGGTGTTGGGGTCACCATGAAAAGACAGATAGTGGGGAATTTCAACCGATTGAATCTTCCAAGAGAATTCTTCATATACGTTCTGATGATTTACATTATGATGATGAATCAGCTCTTGATTTTCGTCAAACCGGGTTTCTTATTCCAGTACAATTTGAACTACCGAATTATGTTACAAGAGTGCCTACTGTGCTTTTGTTTGCTTCAAATTACGTCAAGGAAAATAATACGACAGTTAAAAGTTCCATAGTATGGAATTTAACTAAAACATGTAACAGAGTAAGTTAATGTTCACACTTTAATCTCGTCTCGCTTCATATTTATATCATCTTTTTTTCTGTGTAATCTCAAGCAATACTCTTTCTTCAACTATAAGCTGTTCATTTGTTATATTCTATCAACAATTATTGAAATAATTAATCTACTCAACTAGATTTAAATACTCAGTGTCATGCCGTTGTCTTGCAGTCACCTACTGTTCAAATTAGGGTTAGTGGAGGTTTTTGGCTCAAGAACTCACAAAATCAACTGCGTACAAACTTTATTCAAGACGGCAAACGCACACTGCAGCTTGGAAAAATGAAGAAACATATCCTTCAAAAGAACGGCTATCCTCACAACTTCATAATATATTAAACAAACAGAAGCAAAATCAGGTACGGAAACCAACAAACGGATCATCCTACCATGCATAAAAGGCATATCAGTAACTGCAAAAAGATTGTTGAAACCTTTTGGAATAGGTGTAGCACGTAAACCAACAAAATCAAGGCAACCAATCCTATGCAAACCAAAAGACGAAATGATAAAATAAAGACCGTGCATCATCTACAAGATAAATTGTTCCAATTGCGAAAAACACTACGTTGGACAAGGCGGACGCCTTCTTCATTTTCGCCTACATGAACGTCAACTAGTGGTCAAACGCCACAACATATCCTCACTTATATCAATGCATGTGGACATATATTTGACTGGGAAAATGATAAGATCTTGAATAGAGGCAGTTCTAAAAGCACCAGAGAATTTCCAGAAGCTTGTCACTCAGGTCAATCAACAAACACATTGAAATCGATCCATTTTATTAACCAAGCAGAAAGATTATGGAGAAATATAGGACCGAAAACCAAATCAATGGGAGATACAGTCAAAATAAAGAAGTAAATAATGACAGGTTTGAGGTCAACAATAACCAATCGCAGTCGAGCCGTCAGATATATGTGGAAAAATCCGAACACCTAACTTCTACCAGAAGTTTATGCTGATGGTGTTGTTTAGAAGAATAATGAAAATTTCATGGCCGAACCATCCAGCTCAGAGGACGAAACCTAGCCAAAATTACTCAATTTATCCTCTACATACCAATACTACTTAAACGTTTCATAATAGTCTAGTTATACTACAAACTAATAATCGTATGTAGAAAACAAAGAGCTAATACAAGAATTATATGGAATGAAGCTGTATTTTATCGTGCAAAAATTTTAAGAATGAGAAGCAATTTTTGTTACTGTTTACAGAAATTTATTTATTTATTTGAACACAAATATTGCTACAAAGGAGGCACCGAATACATATGTGCCACACAAGTCACTTGATTTGTGTGTGAGCTGTGATATTGCCCGGGTACCCAGACCGAAACAGGCGGTTTTCTTAGTAGATCACACCCCGAGCCTCCGACCTAAACGTCTGATCCACAAGACAGTGGAGCAACATCAGGAAATGCAGTCCCATCGTAGCCGGTGACCAACAATAGGTTCATAGGCTGTTTGTTCCTTTAGGATACTGGAACCCATGTGCACCATTGGTTTGGAATCAGGGTTTTCCCACTCCCCTAGGAGGATTCTTCGTGTCCACCAACCCGGTTAGATCGCCCGACATGCGCTTTTCGTCCTCTCAGTTCTGTAAACAACAGTAATGCCCCGAGAAGGCAGTGAGTAAGGCTTCCTTAGCAGTAGCTGTATGCGTGTGGCCATGTGAGAGCATTCCCACTCTCGGTCGTACCAGGGCATTTGGGGGCTTACACAAATTAGAAATTAGTATAAGAATTATATGTAATAGTGGAAAAAATATTGATCATCCACAAACAAATACTTTTCATAGACATCAACTACTTTCTGATTGCGTTCTTATATATTCACCTCAACATTCCATGACGTCTATATATATATATATATATATATATGATCAGTATTCAAGTGAATAAACTCATGAATTCAATATTTCATGTCAAATGTAACTTACCGAAATATTATTCGTTCTTATACTCAATTGAAGATTTTTTTGAAAAATCTTAATTTTTTTCAGATTTGTCTACCTTCACCTGAAAAAGTTTATAAAATTAGCTTATCTAGCACATGCACTCGAGTCAGACTATTACAAGCCACTGAAATAAATCCATCAAAAGATTGTCACCTTACACTGAATTCTAGCGCTAGGATCCGCATCGGCGTAGAAGAACTGCCTGTTGTTATTCATCTAAAACTCGATGAAGTGGCCGCAAAATTTTTCGATGATCTCAAGGAAGTTTTCGATTCTCCTTATTCATTCCAAATAGAAGATTTTACTTCCAATACATCTGTAACACCTCGATCAAAACTAGTTGAAACATTGTAAGTGATTGACTTAATCGTTTACATTTTGTAACTGTACACCTTATTACTCAGATTAAGTGTTGTGGTGAAATAATCCTGCGTGCAGGATCGTAGATGCGCACCGTCGATGAGTCCCTTACTAGAACGAAACGGCCGTCCGGTGCTTCTAGATTTTCAACGGTGGTCTAGCTTGAATCAACTCATGAATTCAACTATTAAAATAATTAATTACGTATAATCAAACACTATGATACGCAATATTCCAGCTTGAAGTACCTCAGATTTTTAATATTTCAATCCCCAGGTGTTTTGAAGAATAGTGTTCGATAAATCAGAGGTGGTGTATGATTTTGTACATGAGAAATTCAGTAGGATTAGCGAGGAATCTGTGTAATACAGGTTTAAATCTCCTGGAAAGAATTAGTTTTCTCAAGGCTGCAACCACGCCTTGCTCTCACGAAAGCTAGATCCTGCGTTTACTACCCACTACTTGTAATGACCACCTAACATCTCAACATTGTTCATGAGTTATTCAATCATTGAGAATTCGATCAACTCAAAGGATTGAACAAATGTGACATTGGTTATTACTCCATCTTCAAGCAATCAAGTTAATGAAGTCGATTGATGTGGTACTTCGCCATATGCTATAGCTCATTAACTAGTTCTATAGTAAAAAGCACACAGTAATCTTGCTTAATTATGTTATATTTTTGACGATATTCTAGTTCTCATTTATTTTAGCCTACAATGCAGCTGGAGAGTGTTTAATTTTAGTTTTCTCGGATACAGACATACAAGCGCTCATTACAAATTACAACTGGATTACATTACACAAATGACCAGATTGTTTTCATTTTATAAACCACATTCCTTATAATTCCACTGAACTTGTGTGTTATAAGTATTTAACGTCGACGAATTTTAAATACGTGTATTTTCCTGTTATATCAATAGATGAAAACAGTATAATACATCTTATTTTTTCATAATTTTCTAGTTTAGTGAATTGTCATTTTTAATTTTCTTATGTTATTTAATGATATACACAAATAATGATTTGAGTGTTCATAAACTTTTATCTTTTTCACTTCATAGTTGGTCTAAATCATCTCAAAACATCGAGTCGGTATCTGCAACAGGAGTGTTCTGGCTTAATATCAGAAACACAATTCGCGTTACTCCTAAATCACTGAATTTAAAGCAAAATCATATGGTTCATTTGATAACATATCCGTCTAGTCAAGATATTAATCTTCAATCCGACTCTGAACAACAACAAAAACAAATTGATGATATTTCATGTAGTTTAACTATCCCTATAGTTAACCCCTCTAAATCTACTGTAAATGATGTATATTCATTATGTTTATCACTTTTTGTTGGACAAAATGTTGAATTCAGCCTCACGATCTCTGTCAATCTTAGAGGTCGTATCGATCCGCCTACTGAGAGGGTGAGAGAATATTGCTTATTTTTAACAAATCAACATTTATAAGTGAATTTCACTTGTCTTCGCTGTATTGTGTTCCTTTGTCCTGTTATTTTAGTCGTTCTATTCAAAGCATAAATTAACTTAAGTTATAGATCATGCATCATTGCACCACTGTCTGTTGGCTTATCAATCAGTATTATTTCTATATGGTTTCATTATGATCGTTTACAAGTATGTTTATGGATCTCTTTACTATCTCACAAAGTGATTATTGTAATAATAATGTTAAGTGAATTATTTACGACTGCTCCAGAATGCAGTAAAGGAATCTGTCAATTAAAAGTTGTCTTTACATTTATGTGTGACCGATTTTAATGTACTAATAAAATCCTCTAAACTAGAACAATTAATATATGGTTAGTTATCCGAAAAAAAAAGTTAAATGAAATCTATCTTTTTCTTCTAATGATTTTGTTGACATGACATTAATTTTCCTCATTTCTAAGTTTTCAATAATTTTCTATGTGTTTAGGTTAATATTGAATTATTCAAGAAATTGCCTCAAATGTCAGAAAAGTCTCCAACTTCTGTCGAACACGATCATCTCTTACTACCTGTGAATAGTGAATCCGAATTGGTAACTAAAACGGAAAAAGAAACTAAATCATCTGAACCAATTGCAGTCACTCAGTCGGATAGTCAAGGTTTATTCTCTTTTAATGCTCTACCTTTAACAGATTACGAAGTATTCAATATTAAATCTATATTTGAGGTTTCTAAAATGTATCAGATTTTATTATCTAAAGCTGGTTACAAGTTCGATATCATTAATAAAACAGATGTAAAACACCAATTGACAGGTTTCGACTGGTATGTAAAATCAACTAGACTTTCTCTTGTTGAAGTGTTTGTCTATAACTATCCTGTTTCAGAGGATTCACGTCAACCATTACCAGGTAAATCCACTCATTTCTGAATATTTAATGATGTTTAAAATTTCACTCCTTTGTGTGTAAAACTATTTTTTCCAGTGCATATACCTAATCTTTTCGGTAATAACCATTTATGGGTACAGTTGTTTTATATAGCAGCATTAATTGAAAATAAGCTATTGAAATTTCAACTAAACCTGACAGTTTAAGAGTGTGTTCATAGCAGAATATCATTTCGAACCTTTATTATGCTACTCATAATTAAACCACAATTATTGACAATTAAAAAAATTGAGTCTTCACTAATCTTTAATTCATACTAATATTAATACTATGTTCATATATAAAATAAGATGGTTTCAATTTAAACCTTAAAATAACAGGTCTAAAAACAGCTTACAATGTGTTTTCGTTGTTAAGCCCCAAATGCCCTGGTACGACCGAGAGTGGGAATGCTCTCACATGGCCACACGCATACAGCTACTGCTAAGGAAGCCTTACTCACTGCCTTCTCGGGGCATTACTGTTGTTTACAGAACTGAGAGGACGAAAAGCGCATGTCGGGCGATCTAACCGGGTTGGTGGACACGAAGAATCCTCCTAGGGGAGTGGGAAAACCCTGATTCCAAACCAATGGTGCACATGGGTTCCAGTATCCTAAAGGAACAAACAGCCTATGAACCTATTGTTGGTCACCGGCTACGATGGGACTGCATTTCCTGATGTTGCTCCACTGTCTTGTGGATCAGACGTTTAGGTCGGAGGCTCGGGGTGTGATCTACTAAGAAAACCTCCTGTTTCGGTCTGGGTACCCGGGCAATATCACAGCTCACACACAAATCAAGTGACTTGTGTGGCACATATGTATTCGGTGCCTCCTTTGTAGCAATATTTATGTGTTCAAATAAATAAATATTTTGTTAAGCGCTCATTATTCATTGTTCATAATACTGATAAATTTTGTTTTGTCCTAAATCATGACTGATAATGTTGAAGTTAGGATTTTAGTATTCCTGATCAATTCCTTTATATTTCAGCTGTATTGATTTCCATTATTGGAGAAGGACATCGTGCAAATCATTTAACAAATGATGAAGGCGTTGTACGCTTTGTCGGTCTATCTCCTGGTATGTTCAGTTTATATGTATATTTACATATTGTTTTACTCGTATGTCTTTTGTAGTTAAACTGAATGGTTTTCTTTATCTTACTAGTTAAACCTTCAAATGCTTTTGTATGATATTTTGATGGGCATCTTTTCAGATGTCTACGAGTTATTAGTAGTTACGGAATTGTTACATATATGGTGTTAATGTTCTGAAGCTAATTGCTTTCTTTATGGGGGCATACCGATTTAAATTTTCTTAGAACTGTTTCATATTATTTTAATCACAATCAGTTTATGTTGCGTTCTTCCTTTTGTTGTACTTTTTTTATCATTACACTTCTCTCAATTTAACACAAATCAGAACAACATTAGGGTTGAGAACTTGGTTTATTCGGAATGTCCAAGCGTACAGTTTGTACAGAATGTACATAAAAAAGATCTAGGACATTCTAGGTACATCCACCAATATACCAATAACTGTATTAGGACTCTACACTAAATATGCTGTGATTAGCATTGTGTCCATCGGACAATTTAGGTTTTCTTATAATTGTTTATATCTAGTTATTCTTGACTGCTCCTTACTTATTGACTTTATTATATCATCAATCTTATTGCTTAGACTTAACAATCGGAGACCACTACAGTTGTCACAACGCAAGGTTAAAGCACAGAGAACTAATGCAACGGGAATTTAGTGACTTCCCGAAAACACTATTCCATGCACGTCTTAAAATCATACCATCATTAGACTAAAATTCAGTCATTTACATACTAATTTTTACACACCTTTAATAGTATTACACACAAAAGACAATACATTGAGTTACTATTTGAAAAAAACACTAAACTTAGTTCGCACCTGTCATCCATACTGAAATTCGTAAAGGACTAATACAAAAGTATTAACCTAAACAATGTCTTCTTATCCCGTCATATCAACAATGTCTGTTTATTATTGTGTCATTATTTAATCATGGTAAAATGTAAACCATAATTATTAATAACTCCGTTCAGTTTGGAACTACATAAACACTTTTAATTCTTAAATTATTCTGTTAGAATCACTGCTTCAATTAATATTATGATGAGTAAGCTGAAATTCAAAGTGATGCGATACGACAAAACAGTGATTGGTTAGAGGACCAAACACATGAATTTGATTCCTTCGTAAATCCACATCGTTATCATCATGTTTAATTCCTTTCATTCGACTAATAAGAACTGTAAAACTTCTGGTAATTAGACTGATTACAATCTATTTCGGTAGTATTGAAAATATAAACATCAGTCTTTTGGACGTTAGTCAGATTTTATGACGAAATAGAAAGCTTTGTTGCCTGACTTTATAATAGATGCCGTTTTTTTGTATCTGAGATCCTATTGTCTCTTGCCAATTCTTATTTTTTCATGTAAATCCTTAAAATTACTCTGTTTTCATTCTTACCTTTAATTATCTGAAATTAAAATCATACTTTGTATATCGTCTAATTTATTTGTTTCCAACAAATAACCACTTATGAAGTTTATGTCCATCTCTGTCAATGTGAGCAGTCTTATAACTATCTTACATGTATTGGCCCTGTTAAATTCGTTTTCATTTTGTCTTTATTCTCCCCTGATCTGATTCTCTTTTATGTACCACTTTATATTACTGACTAACATTCAGTAACCGGTCTCAATTCTTATACCTTTTGATGAGCTTATAACGTGTTCTCTTCATCCGTGACTGTAAAGTTTTAGACTATTTACATATACCAACATCATTCAGTTTATTTATAAACGTAATTGCATTTTTTAAATTGCACACAACATACACTTTTAGTTCTATTTTATCCGTTGAACGTTTTTTTTAGTGTTACGCTTTCCATATTTGATGTTCTACCTTCTCACTTTGACATTCCCTGGCATTGTAATTTAGATACGCTTGTTAGCTGTCGTGTATTGTTATTATTAACTCTATGTATTCTTTTTAAGAGGCGGTCTTCTCTGATTGTACACAAACTCAGTAGATATTTCAGACTTCTTACCAGTTGGGGTTTGTATACATTCCACATATTTTCGTAATAACGGTACCATATTAGCAGAATATGTTGTGATTTTTGTTACCGTATTTTACCTGTCACCCGATTGTGTGCTTAAAATCTCGATAATATTTTGCAGAATTTATTTAAATAAAATAAGGATCTTTCCTGTTTAGCTTGATGGTTGGCTATTTTTGATATGATAATTGTAAAATGTAACATAAAGGAAGACTTTTTGACCATCTAAATTCCGTTATTTCGTAGATTTTTAAAGTGTTCTCCTACTCCACACTTTAGGACAGTATTATGTACGTCCAATGATGAAGGAGTATTCATTTACTGTTAAATCTCCTGATCAGTCTGAATCTGGTCAAGCTATTCCTGTACAGGTAGAAGAAGGAAAATCGGCTGTCATCATATTGTCTGCACTTCGAATTGCTTTTTCCGCTTCAGGAGTTGTAAGTCAGTAATTTTTTCTCTTCGAGTAGTTTGAATTTATAAACATAAAGGTTAACTATTTATGTCACTTAATGTTCTTAGTATAACGGAAAACTGGAATAGTAAGCGTTTTCTGCTAACTGTTAACCTACTTCATCGCTTGAAGCTAAATCTTCTGTTCAAATCAATACATACTAGCAACAAGGAAATCAAAACATTAGGTATATTAAAACCATTGACAACCAAAAAATAGATCTAATTAGCTGGTCCGTTATTTAAATACAAAATCAAATCATGTACACTTTGCTAAGATTGTGAAAAAATTCATCCAGTTTTGTGTGGGACACTATGTCTTCAATCAAGCCGAACTTAAAAAATCATCCATTATTACACTTTATCTTTCAATTGTTGACTGAATTGTAAGGCTGTTATTCCACTATGTGATTAGTAATTGTTATGTATTTTAAGTTTGTATTTTTGTTATGTTTGTTTATTTTCTGAACCTTCACTTTAACTTCGGTACTTAAAGGTTACTTCGTTAGCTGGTATCCCAGAGTCTGGTGTTTTAGTTGAAGCATCCTGGTTACCTGGAACACAAAATACTATACATAACGATTTGTTGCACTTAAAATCAAATAGCAACATGACGTGCCAACTTCGATATGATCAAATTAATATTATTCCACGGGAACAATCTGTAACGGATTCAAATGGCAATTTTCGTATTAGAGGTCTTATGCCAGGTTGGTTTAATAAGTCATTTTTTCACTCCCCCTCACGTTTTGTTGTAAAATGTGTACATTTTACACATAATGTACCTTTAGAGGCAACCACTGGAACAGGTGTACATAAACTGATCCCTGAAGTTATAGACGTTATCACTTTATTTAATTACTGAAATTCCATCAGTTGGACCTAGCTGCTACCTTGACGCGGTGGTCGGGCTTGCCTATCGTGATGACCCGGCCAAGCTATATTGGCTGGAACATATGTTCCTGTAGGTTCTGTCATGCCAGGCAGGTCGGTTGGAGAACGGTAAGACTAAAAGTAGCAACTCAAGGTCTGAGGGCGAAGTCGTACTGCTGACTGTAGAGAGGTGTGACAGCAGTAAGGTGTTTCCCTCAGACCACCAGCATGACAGCGATGCTGCCTTCCCACAAGGAGGGGTAGAGTTAGATGTCGACCTGAAAAATGTCACACCTCACCTTACCTCACGAATTTCCGTCTCCGACGATAAGGCCCTTTGAAGAACGGAGCTGACACATTAAAAACCTCCACGAAAAGGCCGTGTGCGACCGGCCTCAGGCAGTTGTCCATTGGGCTCTGTGGTCACGCTCCCAGGTTGTTGCGGTCAACATTAATCCAACTCCCTTTTCAGGTTCCTCAAGAAATATCCTTCCATAGTGTGGGCAGCCGAGAAGTGATATCAGCCCTCATACCGGTAACAGCACGCGAGACCAAGTCGGTCACATTCAAATCCTTCCTACACCTCCTAATACCTCTCTTATCTCCATGACTAACCCTTCTCACGTCCCTTTATCACCTCTCACCGCTAGGGCAAACGACTCGAGTCCTAGGGCAGAACTAGCTCTCTTAGACTGGATCCCAGTAGACAATCGTTTGTGCGCAGTCCGACTGAACAGAACAGTAAGGACTCGGAAATATAGGGACACTCGTCGTTGCCTCTTCGTCGTCTCTGCCTATTCTCCCACTGACTGTAGCCCAGATGATGTTAAAGATGAGTTCTACAGAAAGCTTTCCGACTTTCTCCGAAAAATAGGCGCTGTGATGTAGTGATAGTGGCTGATGACTTTAATGCTCAAATTATATTTATTTATTTATTTGAACACATAAATATTGATACAACAGTGCGCCAAATATATATGCGCCACACAGAACAATGATAATTTAAAGAGAAGGAAAAAAGGTAAGGAGCGTAAAAAAAGAGAACAATAACGAAGAGATTGATGTAAGGTAGTGTAATAATAATAATAGTAATAATGGAGGAACGGAAAGGTACAATCAGAAGAAATCTTTCAGCTAAGAAAGAAGCAATTACTTTTTATGAAGGAAGTAAAAGAAGGTTACAGCCGGATCGCCACTGGCTCCTAACATGAACCATATCTGATAACGTCTCTAGCTACTGTGTCGCACCATCTCTAGGACCCCAGCCAGGGAGTCATGAAGGACCAACAGAAGCCAGCCCTTTGCAGCTTTCTTTCATACCACGACACCATGTCATACACTGACAACCTCTCCGCTTCTTCCAACCAGTCCCAGAGTCGGCAAATAATGCACGACGTGGGATTCTCTGGGACGACATTCGTAAAACATGTCCAAGCCACCGAAGTCGGTGTTTCAAGATGGTGACACCAATTGAATTATCATCTCTGTGCCCGAACACACGATGCCGAACCTCTGCATTACTGACATGGTGTTGCCACTGAATGTCAGCAATCCGTCGGAGACAGCGGTGATCGAACACAGAGAGTCGTCTAACATCCTCAACTCGGAGGCCAGGTTTCACAAGCAAAGAGCAAAACTGCTCTCACCGACGCGTTGTAGGTATGACCTTTTACAGCCAGACTAACATCACGAAGACGCCAAAGATGGCCCAGATTGGCGCGTATTTGTCTGCGTCTTACAGGACGTAGGAAAGACGCTGCAAGGAAACCTCTTTGGGCCCTACTTAATGATAGTCAAGCTAAGAGTATATTTCAGGAACAACTAGAAAACCAGTTAGGCAGCCATGTATGTGATGCCCACCCCGAGGCAGCATGGAATGATATCCGAAAAGCTGTGGAAACAGCAGTGATATCTGCTAGTAAGGTAAACCAGAAGGTTAGGGAGCAACACTGGATCTCAGCAGCATCTATCGCACTGATTGATGCTCGAAAACTCATTCCATCTGGATCTGAACATAACGAAGAGCGAAGTCAGCTTAGGCGCAAGCTGACAAGAAGTCTACGCAATGATCGTGAACAGTGGTGGGTAGCGAAAGCAAGAGAGATGGAAAAGGCAGCGGCAATAGGTAACAGCAGACAACTGTTCAGACTTTTTGAGGAAACCGGTATTATGAACCCGATTGTTAGCGAAGCACTCTCAGAGAAAGATGGACATATTATACATTCTCAATCCAGGAGATTGGATCGATGGGCAGAACACTTTATGGATCAGTTCAACTGGCCTTCAGCCACACTTCGGGATGCGATTCTCCCCCTTGAAATGCAAAATGTTGCTTCAGGATTGGGTTGCATCGACACCCGAACTAATGATAGGGAGTAAAGTAGTTGAGCGTGCCGACCGCTTCACTTATCTTGGAAGTCTCATCAGCCCTTGTGGTCTGGTGTGTGACGAAATCTCAGCACGGATACAGAAGGCTCGACTAGCTTTTGCCAACTTGCGTCATTTATGGCGTAGGCGAGATATCCGTCCATCAACCAAAGGACGTGTTTACTGCGCAGCAGTTCGTTCCGTCCTTCTTTATGGCAGTGAAACATGGCCGGTAAGAGTAGAGGATATTCGTAGGTTACTAGTATTTGATCATAGGTGTCTTCGAAATATTGCTCGTATATCGTGGGACCATCGAGTAAGTAATGCAGTTGTTGGGGAACGGGTACTAGGTAAGGATGGCAAATCAATTGATGACGTAGTGAAACTTCATCAGTTGAGATGGCTTGGACACGTGTTACGTATGCCCAACGACCGACTACCTCGACGTGCCATGTTCAGTGGTATATGAGTAGGTTGTAAGAAAGCTAGGGCGGCCAGACCAAAACATGGCACAAGTCCATGAAGTCACTGACACGTGGTCTGAGTCATGTTGGTAGGTGTAGACTACCTGGTTGGGGACCGCGAGACAATAGCAACCGATGGTTAGAGACCCTGAATGACATGGCTCAAAATCGTTTGCAATGGCGCAGGTGCATCCATTCTTTGTGTTCTCCCAAATTCTAATGTCCTGAATCCGTATTGTCTCTTTTTTTCCCTTTCCAAATTTATTTCACTGGATTATACTCCTTGAGTAACATCTTCAAACCCTAATTTTTCCGATTACTACTTATATTCCTACCACCTCTACCACTACGGGATTTGAATCGACAACTACATCTCTGTGCTAATGTGATACGGCAACTCGAACTGATGTACGTACGTACGAAGTTCTATGTTGTTACTGGCTGACTGATTCGGGCAAAACTGAAACTAGTTTTCTCGATTATGACTGGCTCCTTAGTAAGCAACAACACACCTAGATAATTTCGTAATCATTACACTAATCTTATTCATTTTAGCAATTATATTTGTAAATGGCCATTTTCATCTAATTTACAATAAAATGGTACACTTGTTTTTTTTCTTTTTGCCTATGTTTAAAGATGGATAAACAAGAAATATAATGTAATTTATTTTATTCAGGTTGTGTATACAGGATCTCTGTACATATAAATCCTAATATTTTATCAAATCCTATATTGGATCAAGTGACAAGGGAATCAAGTAAACTATCTTCTCGCAACGATGTTGAACATGCAGTTCCTGATCATGTAAATTTGCAGATGCTAACCACTGACACAAATGGACTACATTTCTACATAATTCGTCACCTTTGTACTTCTTTGGTATGTTTGATTCTAAAGCATTTCTTGTTTAAATATAACATTGAGTGTATCCAAGATCTGTACTCCAACAGTATGCCTATTTCATGTAACTAATATGTTATCCATTTATTTCCTATACAGCGACTCATCGCTGTTATGCTTGTTGTCCTTATTCCCTTCTATAGACGTCAGTTAAGATCGGTCCCAATGGACGGGTCAGAGCAATATGGTCCGTAGGATAGATCAGTTGGTTTTAAATAGTGTGTTATCTTACTGACCGACCAACCCTACAACTCTTCAAAAATATTTACTTTTCAATTTGTTAATATAACTATCAAATCCACTGAACGAGTATAAAGAAAGGTTTACGACATCAGTCGGAATTTTTTCAGACGTACTTAACCATTGGTGTTTTCTGCAAGTTCACCTACTTCAACTACTTTTTCCTTTATTATACAATGTGCCGTAATTTTAACATTAGGCTTTCTCATTATGTTAAAAGAGTTGTAAAAAGAAAGCTTACCGAAAACTCTTGTGTTTCTATATAAGTTCTCTACTATTTAATACCACATAATTCTGATTAGCTTCGTCTTATTGGATAATGTAAACCAAATAATGTAAGTACAAAAGTATGAATCCAATAGGTATTTTCATGATTTGCTGAAGCATAGTTTGACTGTTATTCCCAATGACTGCTGTTTTAGTCTTTTACGAATGCTTCAAAATTTTATGAACTAATTGGTACATAGTAGTAATTCTCTCCTATTTCATTACTCGAAATTCTTTTTTTTCTCCGTTTATCCTATAGATTACTGTTAATGTCCAAACTCCTGATATTTACCTGCCTACTTTACGATTAATCGTATTTCCTGTTGGTCATCCAGAAAATATTGTTGCTAACATGACTTCGGTATAGATTCTTCATTATTCAGTTTGTCCGGATCCAAACTTATTCCAATGATTGGGTGTGTTAACAAATGATAATTGTATATCCATCCACTTTATCTTAAACTTTTGTGCGTATCAATGTTACAATGCAATCTCCTCTTATTGTTTCATACCTAGCTAGAGCAATCATTAAAAGACATATTTCTTGTAAATTAATACGTATTTGCATGTGCTCCAAATAAACTCCATGCTTCTTATATTCGTTTCAGTCTAACAGTGTTTAGTAGGTACAGGAACTTAATACTTGCTATAAAAAAACTTACAGAATGCATCTACGTTATTTTGACTTATTTTTGATCTCCACCCTGACTTAAGTGACGTGACATTGACGTATTCAGATCTATGTTTTTCTATTGACTAATAAGTATTTTGACTTTGTTACGTTGTACTATTTAAACTTATTTATTTATTTTAACACATAGATATTGGTACAAGGAGGCACCAAATACATATGCGCCACACAAATCTCATTTGATGTGTGTGAGGGCTGTGATACTACCGGGGTGCCCAGACCGAAGCAGGTGGTTTACTTAGGAGCCTTTGACCTGAAGGTCTGACCTACAAGGCAGTGGAGCATCGTGAGGAGATGCAGTCCCATGGTAGCCGGTGACCAGCGATTGGTTCATACGCCATTTGTTCCTTCAGGATACTGGAGCCCATGTGCACCATTGGTTTGGGATCTGATTAAAGCGCCGGACATTCGCTTTTCATCCTCATTTTCGTAAACAACAGTAATGCCACGAGAAGGCAGTGAGTAGGACTTCCCTGGTAGAAGCACGTGAGAGCATTTCGACAGGGAGAGCTGACTCTCCCCACTCTCGGCCGTACCAGGACATTTGGGGGCATTTAAACTTAAATATATTTAATTTGTTTGTCCCGTCAAAACATGGCTTATATTGAATCAAGAGAAGTCAAAATGTCTTATTTTCTACTCATTGGAATTTTACATGTATATCATTATTTTTATTATTAACTATCTACTTAATCCTCAGTTTATTAAAACTGTCAGGTCATACCTTGATAATCATACCAACATGATTACAGTCATCCTTCTAACTTATAATTAACTAGTTTCTTCATTCATTGTAAGAAATGTTACCTTACAAAGTCATTATTCTATACTACCTCATACACTGTTACTACTTCCGCTACTGTGACATATGTTTTAATATCGTGTGATAACGTGAACCGATACACCTTTGTACTAGACTCTACTTTACATAAAACTGATTCACTAGAAGAAGTATATATCAGTTAGTGTAATTGCATTCAAAGAATTAATTAGTTATACTTTTTTTGAATTGATTTTCCTTACATTAAATCACCATCATTTACAACCAGCTAATTTATAGTTTCATTAATGCCTGAATAGTAACACTTTTTTTTTCTAAATTTATTTTATAGACGAGAACATGTGATACGTTTAATATCAGATCTTGAACCTAAGTTTTATATCAATGCTAATGCACAGAATATTATTTTCAAACCAAAATGGAATGTTAGTGAACATTTTAATTTTCAATTCCATCCTAAACTACGTACTACACTAAGTGATTAGGTATGTATTGTTATTCATAGTTTGATTGTATATTTTTTTTTAATGAATTTTTAGAAGGATATTGCTTCATCTAAAATTTATTCTTTTTATTTTGAAAAGTACATAAATGTAGATTGAATGTTGTTTTTGGATCGTCTTTGAATGTAATAACTGAAGTAATATGTATATCATACTATCATTAATAATCTTTTATTCAATTCCTCTAGATAAAAAGAAATTCTAAAGTACAATAATATTTAGTGTTTTAGGAATTATTTCTGTTAAGATATGACGTTGTATGTGATTAGTACATCTCATTGAATAATTTGTTTTAAAAAATTTTTATAACTGTTTCTTCAACATAAAGCATTATACATGTTCTACAATATTTGTTTCACATTTTCTGAAACCTACTATACGTCTTAAACGATACAAATAAAAGTTGTAGAGAACTGCACATAATGTTTGTTGTTGTTGATCGACAGTTTTCATCTATAGTTTTCGATACTGGGTCTTTCTTAGTAATACACAGCTACTTAATTAATGACAGATATAAAGAATGTGATTTAAGACTTATAAAGCTAGTGTCATTCAACCAATCAACAATCCTCCGGTTTGTATGTTTCTTTTCAAGGGAAATATATTAAAATACGCATGAAATCTTTTTTGAAAGCTTAAAGCATTACACAACAGATCATGTTTCTAATACATGGTTATTACTGTTTAAATCATTGACAAAATAAAGTACATTTCCAACGATCAATGTTAGTTTTTTTTTGTTTTTCATTGCAAATTTTATGTTATTTTCACGATATTTTAGGTTAATAACTTCAATAATGGATTGTCTTACCATCTACTTGTCGATTTATGTCTAGTATTTGTATGTTTCTTACTTTGTGCTTAATAAATTGTTCTTTTTTTCTGTATAATCTGGTATAATCTTCTTCCGACACAATATACATGTGTACAAATATATGAAACTTGTTTTATTTTATCAAATAATAATTTATAACTGTCTAGTTGTTCTTTATTGTTGTAAAGTGTGTGCGGTAAATATACGCATGTGTATAGTTTTCTTGCGTTCATTCATTTTTTTCTCCTTTTAACCTGAGTGAATTAACTACTTATGTTTTATTGTTCAAGATATATTGTTTATCACAAGTCTACTTATCAAACATAACTCCATAGTCTATCATATTCGTTAAATTCGAATGATGGTATAATTGAAGCGGTTTATCTGTTTTGTGTGTGTTAGAAACAGTTAATGAAAGAAGTAAATATCTTGCATAGGTTGTTTTATATATTAAAAAGGAAACTGGCTTTTGTCTACAGATCGATTCCTAGTGAAACCAGGTGTTTTTTAAGAATAATTTACTGCACTGGAGGATTTAGTCTTGGAGCTTTCATCATTCTTCTGAACGAAATCATCAGCACAAACTTCAGGTAGAAGTCTTCCATCAAAATCATCCACCTGAACTACAAAGCTTCTCCATCACCTCAAGACTTACTGTACTCTAGCAGACACTACTTAAGTTATCGACAAGTAGATGATCACTTCAATCAGCAATAAACATTACTTCAACTATTGTCAAGGTGCACCTGTTCTTTGTCTATTTACTTTAAAGTTAATCGTCGCATGTACAAACCAAAATTCTTGCAATAGATTAGGTAATAATCCGGCCTAGTAGTTAGACCGTTCACCCATGAACTAGCAAGTTTAAACCCCGTTGGACATCAGTCTGAGAAAACTGGTAATATCGCCAGGTCACACACATAGAGTGGGGTTCAAAAACAAGTAATCTAATCCGTATCTGGTGCGTTTTAGACGGTTAGTAACATCTCTATGTTTATCAGATTAAATACACAGAAACCTTTGTCTTGAGTACGGTGATTTGGAACAGTAGAAGGTGATTAGCTGCCTAAATAAGTGTGATTTATTTAGTTGAATAACAGTAAGTTTCAACAAAGTTGTCTCAGATGATCTAGCTGAAGGCATAATAGAATATAGTCTGTAGTCTAACCTAGTTATTACAACCAATTTTTTAACACTAGATATACGAAATAGGACATTCCATTCCTCAGAGAGTGTTTTCTGATTTCGTAAAAATCATAACTGACTTGAGTTAAAAAACCATACGAAGATGTGCTGAACGCGTATTTTCAGACCGTGTAACATACCAAAGATTTAGTCGGTTACTTGTGTTACTCGATTGCAGAATACAACTATTCACATACCCGAAGTAATTAAAATCTATCATATTTTTCATAAACAAAAAATCTGAAACTCCTCTTGTATAAATAGTATATTTTCAACAAGTGTTTGATTCAATTATCTCTCTGAAGCTACTTACTTCATTTTCCCTGATTGTAAGATCACATGGCAAGAAATTATTCGAAGGTAACGTTCGCCAAATATTCTTGTGATGTGATTATGCGAATGAAGTTCTGAGTAGTCGATAAAAAAGTCGTAATGTTATTAATCCTCCTGCTGTGTATTATAACCATCGAGTTCTTCGGTTTTCTCCCGACTTTATCCCGATAATTTTAATTTTCTCCTTATGATACGACAGGGTACTCAAAATATGAGATACAAAACTAAATGATAATATTCCAAAGGGACAATTGTAAGAATTATGAAGTTCATTGATGAATGAGCAAAATAAGGACTCCGTACGACAATCTTATTGAAGAAGACACAAGCTAGATAGATTTATTTCAGTTCAGATTGTTTGTCTAACTTAGGTAAAATACCTAGTGACCCCAATTATTAGCCATGTTTGATAACGCTCAAGCTACTGATTTGTATAACCTTTAGGACTACATCTGATTATTTGTAATGACTGCCTTTCAAACCTCATTCTGGCTTCGGCACACAACACGATAAAATGACGTACATAATCAATACCCAACTTCAGTGAGTGATACCTGTTACACTGTCGTTAATGCTTCCAGATAACCATTGTGCGACCATAGAATAACGTGAATATGATTATCAATAATAAGGAAAATGAACCACTTTACGTGCTGCTCGTAAAAGTATCCAGTTAGACCGCGAACATACCCATGGGAATCTGATTCTAAATGCCACAAACAAACATATTGGTTGATAAATAATCAAGGGCAGCTCATCTTGAATACCGAGTTGTTATTTACTCTGTAGTAAACGATAGATTGAATCGCTGAAAACAGTAGATATGATGGTAGTCAAAATCCTTGTTTCCGATGCCCCCTCAGTGTCAATTTGTATACTAAGAAAAAGATGTTGAATAATCACATTCTATCAAAATTAGATAAAAGTTGTAAATTGCTTTAACCAATTTCTAAGTTGGCGGTTTCAATGATTTAACAGCCGTTCCCATACTAAATGTTCCAATCATTTCAAATGTGCAGAATAGCATTTTATATATTGAGAAGCACGATGTAGTTCACACATATGTTGAGAATAGTATATCATTCACTGTCACATAAATTTAAAAAGTTTAAACCAAAGACATCTCTACCACAATGGACATATGTAATATTTTGTCGACTACATATAGCAATTATAATTTAGTAATGTATCACAAAGAAAAAAGTGTTTACATGTGACTTTAAAATATTTCTGTCAGGAGTAATCAATAATTTTGACTATCTTTAGAAAAGACTAACTTATTCATACAATCATAGAATACGTTACTCTCAATTTCATTGAATAGGTAAACACAAGTAATTATGAAGTAAGCACCTCCAATATCAGAATACATCATTATTGTATTTATTATCAATCATTTCAAATAATAACCAAAGTGATGACAATCACAAAGAATGAAAAACAAATAATTTCTCATAGTCTCTCATTGATTACTCTGTATAAAAATAGAATTAGGTAGCACACCACAATGAATCCAACTAAATATCAATCGATTCGAATTGATTGATTTACAATTTTGTGAGTGATCAAATGCGGATTATTCAACACTGCGACGAATTCGATAATTGCAACAGAAGTAATAAAAGTACTATTTCCCAACATGTTATGACGAGCTCGTATCACAGAATGAAATCTACATTAGTTGGAGTCCCACAAAACTGGTGAACTAACTGTTACAATTAGGAGAGTGAAATATACGACACTGCATTCATTCTGCTGACAATGAAATAATCAGGTGAGTTATCTGAAAAGCATTCTTGTGAGAAGACTTTAGGAAAGGATGTTGGGAGTGTCGCAATTCCTGATTTCAGTTGAACAGTTCAGTCACATGTGGTACATGTAAGTAACATCCACAGTTGAGTGACTTTCAAATGTAAAAGTACTAGTGAATAAATAACCAAGTCGGCCTGCTTGAATATCTGGGCTACGTGTTCCTGCCATCTGGATATTTTAACAAGTTATCTGTTACCTCGTTCGTTTTAATACATTATGCTTATTATTCGTTTAACCTATTCAGGTGCGTTTGTGGAAATTTTACATTTCGATATACAATTTACAAAAGAGCCCAATCGGTGACATCGTGGTTTCTGGCAATATTCATGGAAAAGAATATACTTTAATTAGATGTCAATTCCTGAAACGCTAACATTTAACTGGCGTCCACCTAATGTTTATCGCATGGTTCGATCAAGAAATAATTAAAAGAAAACTAGTTGAATTACTTTGTCCTGAGAATTCTATTTTGTACCAAAAATATAATGTTAAATGAAGTCACTAATTATAATTAAAAAATAATATCAATAACAATTGACTGTTTCGAACACTAAGTGAATACAGCATTACCGAATAATCTTCGAATTTTGTCATAAAAATTTTCATTGGAACAGATTTGAATCTCTATCCTCTAACATACGACCTTGACAATACAAAGCTTTTCATTTTGAGTAATATTGAATCATGTTTGTTTGGTGGAAATTTTATGCAGTCCTAGTGCATTCTTCACCCAAAATATCAATTTTTGTGCACTGGCTGTTCTCTTTCTGATATTCTTCATTTCAAAGGCTTCTTTAAAAGAAAATATGATAGTAGTGAACATGTCTTTAAAGACCGTATCACCTAAGCAAATTGAACCATACTTGCTTCTGTTCTGTTTTTTAATGCAAATGGTGTTCTTTACCAAACTAAACAAGTGATGCATGACGAGTAAAATCCCTGGCATTGAAAAAATAACTGTATTCGAACACTAATAATTATCACTGAATAGATTCATGTAAGCGAATGTTCAATCTCAGCCAAAATATATTTGTATTCAAATAATATATCCACTAATTATAGCAGCTTGAAGTTGTAGATCACCAACGTAGATGATCTATGTCGAATGATCAGAGGCCTACTCGAGTTAGATGGGACTGGTGTGATGAACCAGCTAACTTCGAATTCACACCCCATGGTCATTCTCTAACGTGGATTACCCCTTCGACGTATCAAAGTACTATGGCTGCTTTGAAGACCGTATAGCACAAAGGACGTTATTATGGAAATATATTGGTAAGAATTAGTACAGAGACCACCACCGTATGCACCAGTCCATGACATACGATTAGCTGATGTGCTTTGGTTATCCTTGACGTGGAATGGTGATCTTTTTGATATTCAGTGACCCAACTGCCGAATGATTTGGCTAGGGCTCAGTGACATTCCGTTGGCCCTAAAACGTGTTTAATCGATTTGACTAGGCTTCATATAATTGTCATTTAGGATCTGCAGTGATATCATTGTGTTCGAATTATTATTATTATTACGGTGTCAACTTCTTAGCTATCTCATAAATATGTCATTCCATCATGATAACAACTGGCAAGTTCTAACCTCTCATGTACCTTTAAGAATATACATTTCCGCCTCCTGAAAACAAATTTTGTCTTGTAATATTGCAGTTAGGTCTTTGCGAAAATATTCATTAGAAACCATATACCCGAAGTAAATTAGTCAAATAATAAACTAATATTTCATAATGTTTTGATTTAGGACGTAACTACGATTGTTATACTTCCGTTTCTTATAGTCGAGAGTTTCCTATTAAAATTTATTGCACTAAATCTATTTGAAATGCATCGATGAGTTGTCATATCAACAGAGTTAGTTGAAATTCAACTAGTGGCTAAAATAGAATTTGATGATATCTTCATTTTAAATTTTAAGAAAAGTAATACTGAAATGATTATCAGTTTTAAATGTAATCCACTAATAATTATCAATGTTAATGAATTCTAGACTTACTTACGCCTGTTACTCCTCGTGAAGGAGCATAGGCCACCAACCAGCATTCTCCATCCAACCCTGTCCTGGGCAATCCTTTCCAGCTCCTCCCAGTTGTAATTCATCCTTTTCATATCTGCTTCTATTATCTGACGTAATGTGTTCTTTGGCCTTCCTCTTTTTCGCTTCCCTTCAGGATTCCAAGTTGGGGCTTGCCTCGTGATGCAGTTTGACGATTTGCGTAATGTATGTCCTATCCATTTCCATCGTCTTTTCCTAATTTCTTCTTCAGCTGGAAGTTGCTTTGTTCTCTCCCACAGAAGGCTATTGCTGATGGTATCCGGCCAATGGATGTTGAGTATCTTGCGTAGGCAGCTATTTATAAATACTTGCACCTTCCCGATGATGGTTGTAGTAGTTCTCCACGTTTCAGCTCCATACAGTAGAACTGCCTTGACGTTCGTATTGAAGATTCTCACTTTGATATTGGTTGAAAGTTGTTTTGAGTTCCATATATTCTTCGACTGTAGGAATGCGGCCCTTGCTTTGCCAATCCTCGCCTTTACGTCTGCATCTGAATTATCGCCTTCAATGAATATGTACATAACTTTTGATTTATCATAAAATATTCTTTAAAAAATCACATACTGAACAGTATAAATGATGGATAAAATTTGATTGCATAAAAATCTATCATTCAACTAAATGTATTAAACTGTATACTTTTATTTTTAAGACAAATAGGCTTTCAATGGTTAAGATCATAATTCAGTTGAAGCTAGACCATTGAAATTACTACAATCTCCACAAAACCCATCTGATATTAAACAAATAGGCTTATCGTATATTTCTTCTTAAAATAAAATAATGTAATCCTATTACAATATTAGAATTGAAATGACATTTAACATTAAATAGACATTATTTTTAACCAATCAAATGTTAGAAACTTATTCAATTCTTAATAATCTTGTTTAACGAATTTGTTTTAATTTATGACAAGAATAAAATTAAAGTCAGTTGTCAATTCAATTTTTTTTTTGTTAGATTATTATTTTATGAAACAAAATAATTATTTTAATTATTATGTGCATTTATTGTATTTCATTGTAATCTTATGTAAGCTAATTTGTATAGAATGTAATTATTGAAATAAAATATTATCTAGTCGACAATAATACAAATGTTCAATCAGCATGGTTTTATTCAGGAACTACAAATATGGAAGAAACTACACCGAATCCTTTTGATACTTCAGAGAATATAGGAAAAATACAGAAAATATATTATCTTAAATCTGATAATAATATATGCTTTATTATGAAAGCAGAGATTAAACTTGTTATTCCTTTAAAGGTAAGTCAATTAAATTTTCATTGTTCTAAGTAAAATACAACTGGGGCCATTTGATGATACAAGTCTGAATTCTATGGTAAGTTTCAAATGCATTAGGATTGTAAATATGGCTAATTGATGAATGACAATTAGCATAAATGCTAAATTTATAGCTTCCTGTTAATTGTCTTCAACCATTCGATAAATTAACATCTATTTAGAAATTTCATAGGTTGAGATCATGAGTCGATTGAAGCTAGACCACCATGGAAAACCTGGAAGCACTGGACGCCGTTTCGTCCTAGTATGGGCCGTCCAGTGTTACAGGTTTTCCATGGTGGTCTAGCTTCAATCGACTCATGATTTCAACCTATGAAATTTCTAAAAAAACTCTCCACAAACCCATTCTGATAACATCTATTTATCCCATTGGAAAGTATTATGAATGCATCAAAATATTTTGAGAATAGTAGAAATAACTAATTATACCATGTTAAATGAGTAAGCTGTACAAAATTTCTTTAAATCAACAAACATCAGGTTAATAATTATCTATTTTATGGCTTCGGTTGTTTGTAAGAAATTGATTTTGGAAGTGTAAGTTATGTTCGATGGGAATCTTGTAGCTAAACTTCAAGGCTGAATTATATTATTATGGTTACCATAAAATGTTGAACGCTACTAACAATACTGCCTAAAAGAAATAAGCAGCAGAGATTTCCACGGGATTTGCTTTGATCGACAGCGAGGGACAGGACGTCTCAGAAAGCTGAAACCACGGTGGTTCAGAATGCTTGTGAAACCTGAAGTGAAGCTAGACAAGACAGTCTACAACCAGCTTGGGTAGCGGAGCACACAAATGATACAAACTTAAGATTGAAGACTAACTGTATTTATTTCACGAACAGTTTGTGTTCCCTACGGACGTGACTTATTCATACATTACACATGTTAAGCCTATTATCATCATATACTGACCATGCAAGATGATGTTCAGAAGTCCTAAAATGTAATTGATGTTGTATACCGACTAGTCATAAAATTTGTGAGTGAATAACAAAACTATTCTGGTATTCAGTTAAAAGTCAATAACCGTTTTCTTGACTAATTATCACATTAGTTTATTAAAATTTCAAATACGTAACAGTTGTATTGATCGCATTCTATTGTTATTTGTTGGCTATCAAAATGTTCATCAACCTATTGATTTTTAATGGTACAACAGTTGATAAGCTTCATCTCTTCGTAATAAGAGTAACCCAACTCTCAACAACAGAACCAATGAGCCTACCAAATAAGTTTCTGCTATGACTAAAGTATTTGAACTAGGAATCCCAGACTAACGCAATTTAGACCAAATAGATGAGCACAAACGAACGTATTGTATTTGAAATCAGAGATCAGGCAGTCATCAAGTACAAAGGAACCATTAGTTCATACAAACACTGCAGTTTCACTACTCGGTATCCATTTCTTCTCTCTCACTCTGTAATATGCAGATCAGTATGATGAAAGTTTATAGTCACTTTCATCCACTGTTTCAAATCAACTGTGAGATGACCTTTAATTATTATTCTTGATGATTTTCGTTTCACAGCCATTCAAAAACAGTTTTCAGAAATATTAAATGGTCACGGTGAGAACTTCAAAGACATAAAGTTCATCCGATATCGTCTTGTTGTTGACGGAACACAGACTAACTGTGTTCCAAACAGCGATTTGTTAATCAACCTTCAGTAAAGTATTGTGTGTTTTCACATTTGAAAGTCACTCAACTGTGGATGTTACTTACATGTACCACATGTGACTGAACTGTTCAACTGAAATCAGGAATTGCGATACTCCCAACATCCTTTCCTAGTCTTCTCACAAGAATGCTTTTCAGATAACTCACCTGATTATTTCATTGTCAGCAGAATGAATGCAGTGTCGTATATTTCACTCTCCTAATTGTAACAGTTAGTTCACCAGTTTTGTGGGACTCCAACTAATGTAGATTTCATTCTGTGATACGAGCTCGTCATAACATGTTGGGAAATAGTACTTTTATTACTTCTGTTGCAATTATCGAATTCGTCGCAGTGTTGAATAATCCGCATTTGATCACTCACAAAATTGTAAATCAATCAATTCGAATCGATTGATATTTAGTTGGATTCATTGTGGTGTGCTACCTAATTCTATTTTTATACAGAGTAATCAATGAGAGACTATGAGAAATTATTTGTTTTTCATTCTTTGTGATTGTCATCACTTTGGTTATTATTTGAAATGATTGATAATAAATACAATAATGATGTATTCTGATATTGGAGGTGCTTACTTCATAATTACTTGTGTTTACCTATTCAATGAAATTGAGAGTAACGTATTCTATGATTGTATGAATAAGTTAGTCTTTTCTAAAGATAGTCAAAATTATTGATGACGTAAACACTTATTCCTTGAGATGGTAGAAAAGATTTGTAGCTCAGGTAAATGATGTTGATGGAGTTTTGTTCTCTGATCTGGATGATTTTCTCGCGGAGCTTACATTGTTCTTCTAAAGAACATCATCAGCAAAAACTGCAGGTAAACGTTGAATGTTAGAATTTCTCCACATGTAATTCACGGCTTGTCTCGTAGACCTTGATGTCGATTGGTTATTGTTGACCTTAAACCAGTCATTGTTTACTTCTTTATTTCGATTGTATCTCACATTGATTTGATTCTTGGTTCTATATTTCTCCCTATCTTTTTGATTGTTTGATAATTTGGATCACTTTTGTTGTGTTTGTTGATTGATCTGAGTGACAAGCTTCTGAAAATTCTCTGGTGCTTTTAGAATTGCCAGTCGAATATATGTCCACAGTTATCCACATGAATTGATATAGGCGAGGATATGTCGTGGTGTTTGACCATTAATTGATGTTCAAACAGGTGAAAATAAAGGGGGTTTGCACTTTGTTCTATCCAGTGTTTTTCGCAATTGGAACAATTTATCTTGTAGATTATGCACCGTCTTTCTTTTATCATTTCGTCTTTGGTTTGCATAGGATTGATTGCCTTGATTTTGTTGGTTTACGTGTTACGCCTATTTCAAAAGGTTTCAAAAATCGTGATGTGGTTTCTGATATACCTTTTATGCATGATAGGATGATCCGTTTATTTGTCTCCGTACTTCACTTTGTTCCCGATGGTGCGTTTGTCTGATATTTTTTCCTTTCTTCTTTCTTTGTAATACATTCGTAAATTATAGTTGTGTCATATGTGGTTGACAAAATATTAGATATCTTAACCATAGAAAAAAAACGTATTTGGTTTGTAAATTTCTACTTTATGTGGCGGTGGACTATATGCTTTTCTTATCTCTAATAGGAATCAGTGAATATTAAGGTTATTTACGTAACGGTTAGTTAGAAGTTTATGCAAATTTAGAAATCCACTAGACTTATGTAGTTCTGTTTAGCACTTTACTGCATATTATATAGTAGATAGTGTTCATCGGGTAATTCACTGTCTAATAACTCTTGATCAATAGTCTTAATGTTAATAGGTTGTATCGGTATGGTTTCAACTTGAAATAATAATCAACGTTTTGGATAAGTTAGTTTGAAAAAATTAATGTGAGACAACTTTTCCACTTTCTCTGTTTTTCAGTATTTCATTAAATTATCAGATAGTTGCTTAAACATCGTTCAAATTATAACTTCATATAAAAGATATAATTATGAATTAGTGCTGAAAAGAACTTCAAATTTCCTATAGAATACTCATTGTATTATTCGGTAGTGGCTAGGGTTTTATTTTATTTTGATCTATATCAAACAAATCAACTAATTGATTGCTCTCTTCAATGTATTGTTGTTGGGCTGAATCGTTATTTTTCCTGTAGTCTTTGTTTCGAAAGCATTTCTTTCCTCGAACAATTATTAACAGAGCTTACAATTTTATTTTATTTCAATCGATGGAGGCTGAATGGATCATCTTTGTTGTTACGTGATAAAGAAAGTTCTATATTTAAAAATATATGCACCAGCTATTCCATCCTATAGAAAAAAAAGCTTAACAAATGATAACAAAATCAAAAACAACTAATTATTAAGAAATATAACAGAGGTAAAGCATAGTGAAACTCATCGTAGCGACGTTACGTGACTGTTTTATCTCTACTTGTTCCTCTAATATGACCCATTACGTCAAATCTGTGATGAAATTTTCATTTTCACAATGTATTGAATCATAATTTTAACTACTATTAATGAGTTGATGTATTATTTTGATGCAGTACTTGGTAAACTATAAGAATATTGATGAATCGGAGATGATTCTAATCATGAAATTCAGATATCCAGCTCTAAGAGCTGGTTTCACTAATATTTTGATTTATGGTGGCTCGAAAATTTGATAAAGCAACGAGATTAACATAATGGTTAACCTGATAAATTCCTTCACCCAACCTATCTCTTAATCACAGCCGTGTAGTTTACCGAATAAAAAGTCAGTGACTAAATACATAAATATATGTAAACTTATGGTTTGTGTATCACAAATTATTTGACTACATTGTTATGGAGATAATTTCATTTTTAGTTGGCCAATGAATAGTGAAGAAGAGCCATAATTGACCATAAAAGCAACGACTTTTCACTTTCTTCTACTAACAGCTGTTTTATGCTTTCTGACTTTGTGAACTCACTATTTTATAAAATAAATTTATGCATTTTAACATCATATTGCGATTCCATCATGTTTCAAGTGATTTCTTTTGCATATCTCCATTTAAAATAAACGTAATCTACTTATCAAATACGACAGATTAAAATATGATTGTATGATACAGTATTTAAGATGGTTTTTAATTAATTTACTGGCTATATGATCAGGCTTTTATTCCACATACTTGATTTAAATCAACTTCGGTATTTAAGCGAAATTCTGTCCGATACATTACATCAGCACCGAATATATTAGGAGACTTTGACGCTGAGAGGTATTCATAAATCAAAAAGACACTAATTGAAACAAAGAAAATCGTCAATTCTAATACTAACTTTGATAGAAATGTTTCTATGAATGTGTGTTTTCAGGTTACTTTTCATATCTGCGATTAGCATTATGTAGAATAGAAAATGACCCGGTTTTTTTCATGATTTAAATCATTCTAAGTTTTATCATTAACAAAAGTTAATTTACTATTTAGGTCTTATTCACATAACATACTTCTTCAGCCAATTATTACCAGACGTATCATATACAAATATATACTCAAAATAATGTGCCGCATATTACTTAATTAGTTGATCATTACTGGACCTTAATTAGTTGAATATGACAGTCTATAAACGTCGGAACTATGTTTCATTCTCTATAGTATTATTCATTTAGAAATATTTGTACCAGAAAGGGAACTTTACTCTTTGTATAAACTGAAATTCTTTTGTTGTGCTTCTTTAGTTGGTTTATTCGTTCACAAAAAGAACCTTTATGTTCAGTCACTATTTAAGAAATGGCAGTTAGATGTTAGGTATTCTTCAAAGTAAGAATTTAAATTCTTTGAAGAAAAAAACGCTAAAATTCACAAATTCTTATTAATAAATCCATACATATAAATGCATTTGTCATTTCATTAGCAGATCTGAGTTAACATAGTCTACTACTGTTTTACAAGAGATTTGATAGTTTAATTAGGTTTAATGTTTAACCAATTACTACCTATTTATGTATTTGATCAAATGACCAACATATTTTATAATAATGTTTAAAATGCTTCTTTTCGTTTTTTTATTCTTATCATATGATCTCATGGTTACAAAAAAATAATAATAGTTAATTTCTTTTTTTAAAGTTGAATGAATTAAATACACATTGTATATACATAAGCCATTGAAACTTTATTGTTTTCCAGCAAGATTGTTTACAATATAAATAAAATTTAACATGTAAATTATAGTTTTCTACACTCATGAAACATATGGAAATTACATGAATACAGAGTAATAGAAATCTTTATCATATCACGCAGCTTATATATATATACAATTAGATTGCATTGATTGGTCAAGTATCAATTTGAAGTTCATCATAACTTATCATACGGAATATTACATTGATATTTTAACCCTCCTTTAAATATACATATTCATATTGGAAGATAAATTACTTCTCAGAACTCCTCTAATTTTGAAAACGAAATTCTACTATTTGTTCCAAATAAATCAACTTAAATAAGTACTAATACAATCAAAAGTGATGTTTCCGAAGTCGTTTTTTCGTTAATAGCTTCTTGTTACCTCAACTCTATCACACATTTCACATATTTAATGGATTACCATAGAAAAAGCCATAAATACTTACTAAAGAATGGAATCTATTTTTAGATTGTAAAAATCAAATCATAATGTGGTAGACAATTTATTACTCGTAAATTCTTCTAGGCTACAAAATAAATTTAGTGCCCTCTTAAATCAATTTCTTTTTGTTACCCCTTTTATAGAATAAAAAACTTGATAGTTTAAACTAATGATCCTGTTATGCTAGTTACCCTTTGTAGAGTATATTCTACCGACCAGCATTCTCTAGCAAAATCTGTTATGAGCTATCCTTTCCAGTTGTTTCCTGTTGCTATTATTCATGCTTTTGATGTTTGTCTCAATCTAACGCGATGTGTTCCTTGGTTTTCCACTTCTCATTTTTCCTTCAAGTTTCCAAGTTTGGGCTTGCCTCGTGACCCACTTTGATGATTTCCTTAATATGTATCCTATGCACTTCCAAGATCCTTTTTTAATTTACTCTTCAGTTAGAAGGTGGTTTGTTTTCTCTCAGAACAGGCGATTGCTGATGGTATCCGGCCGACGGATTTGAGGCATCTCGTAGAGATAATTGTCTGTAAATTCTTGTGTGTTTTTGATTATGGTTGTAGTAGTTCTCCAAGTTTCAGCTCCGTATAGTTGAACTGTCTTGACGTTTGTATTGAAGACTGTGACTTTGATATTGATTGACAGTTGTTTTGAGTTCTGAATGTTCTTCAATATTAATAAATTTATATTAATAGTTTACTATCGATAATCGAAAATACTGAACAATTATCACTAGCATATTAATGATGAGCTCACAAGTGCGATAGAAAATTTACTTACAAATTAGTAAACAAAGATGACAAATCCACTTAATCAGTCTTAGTTTATTTCATTATGACATATTTGAGTGTATTAATATAGAAATTCTTATTTATGGCCTACGCAACCGCTTTCGTTTAGTCATAAATTATTTGTATATACTCAATTTCTGTGCGACTCCGCCTGGAGCCCCTCTGGGGTTACTGACGATCCCAAGCCCGGATGAAGAAAGAGGGTTGGGTATGGGGTTAGCGACCCCATCCCGTAGAAAACTAACTCACTAAAAAACGCTAATCAGAAAAAATTATTCAAACCACTTAAACTCTGCCCTGGGAATCAGAAGGTCTTCATTTAGAAGAGTTATGACGCTTCGTGATGAAAACATATTTTCTTCGGAGGTCCGATTCCCCTTCTGACAACCAGAGCAACCATTTATTTAGGTACATGGAATTTTCGCACAATGTGGGAGACTGAGAGAGTCTTCCGAATTGCTGCAGAAATGAGGAAATACAACCTGTAGGTGCTTGGGATCAGTGAAACACATTGGACACAAGTTGGACAACAACGACTAGCTTCAGGAGAGCTTTTGTTATACTCTGACCATGAAGAGGAAAATGCCCCACATACCGAAGGAGTTGCATTGATGAACAGCAAAACAGAGCACTTCAAGAAACTCTTGAATTGACCAGCCCCACTGAACCCACCCAACATCGAAGCAGCACCCACAGACCTCCCAATCGATGTTGGCCCACCAACGATTGAAGAGATTAGCATGGCCATCAGACAAATCAAGAGTGGCAAAGCAACAGGATTAAACAACATTCTGACAGAGGCATTGAAAGCAGATGTAGCAGTAACTGTAAAGATACTCCACATTATCTTCACTAAGATTTGGGATGAGGAACAAGTACCAAAAGACTGGAAACAAGGACACCTGATCAAAATACCAAAGAAAGGCGATCTCACCAACTGTGATACCTACAGGGGCATCACTCTTCTCTCAATACCGGGAAAACTCTCCAACAGGATATTGTTAAACAGGATGAAGGACTGCGTAGACGCCCAACTTCGTGACCAACAGGCAGGATTCCGTAAACATAGATCGCGTACAGGCCAAATCACAACTCTACGGATCATTGTGGAACAATCAATTGAATGGAATTCATTACTCTACATCAACTTGGTTGACTACGAGAAAGCATTTGACAGCGTGGACAGAAAAACACTATGGAAACTTCTTCGACACTGTGGTGTGCCTCAGAAGATAGTCAATATCATACGGAATTCCTATGATGGTTTAAACTGCAAAATCGTGCATGGAGGACAGTTGACAGACTAGTTCGAAGTGAAGACCGGTGTTAGGCAAGGTTGCTTACTCTCACCCTTTCTCTTTCTCCTGGTGATCGACTGGATCATGAAGACGTCAGCATCTGTGGAGAAGCGTGTGATACAGTGGACATCTAGGATGCAGTTGGACGATCTGGACTTCGCAGGTGATCTGGCTATCCGATTGCACACTCAACAACAAATGCAGGAGAACACGACCAGTGTAGCAGCAGCCTCAGCAGCACTAGGTCTCAACATACACAAACGGAGAAGCGAAATTCTCTGATACAACACAGCATGCACCAATCCAGTCACAATTGACCGAGAAGATTTGGAAGATGTAAAAACCTTTACATATGTGGGCAGCATCATTGATGAACACGGTGGATCTCATGAAGATGTGAAAGCGCGGATCGGAAAAGCAAGAGCAGCATATTTACAACTGAACAACATCTGGAACTCAAAACAACTGTCAACCAACACCAAGGTCAGAAATTTCAATACAAATGTCAAGACACTTCTACTGTCTACTGTGGAGGAAACCTGGAGAACTACAAAATCCATCATCCAGAAGATACAAGTGTTTAATAACAGTTGTCTACGCAAAATACTTCGGATCCGTTGGCCAGACACGATCGGCAACAACCTATTGTGGGAGCGAACAAACTAGATCCCAGTGGAGGAAGAAATCAGGGAGAAGCGCTGAAAGTGGATAGGACACACATTGAGGAAAGCACCGAACTGCGTCACAAGACAAGCCCTCACATGGAATCCTCAAGGTCGATGGGAAAGTGGGAGACCAAAGAACACATTACGCCGAGAAATGCAAATAGACATGAGAAGAATGAACAAGAATGGAATAGAAGTGGAAAGGAAGGCTGAGGACAGAGTGGGTTGGAGAATGCTGGTCGTCTGTCTATGCTCCATTGGGACTAACAGGCGTAAGTAAGTAAGTAAGTAATTCCTGTGCAATAATAATTATTAGTTAATGCATTTTGTATTCATTAGGTTCATACAATCAGTAAGATGTATTAAAATCTCTTTTATTTTGCATGTTTATATTCTATTAATATCTGGCATTTTAATCATAATATTTCCTGTCTAACTTTTCATTAATCTAGGGATCAAAAGAAAATATTACATCCCATTTGGATTCTACAACTAAAAATATCGAATTTTCTGGATTCTGTGATTCTACTTCAACTCATTTATCAGTGAAATGGATACATTTAAGTCAAAAATCTCCATGGCTGTTAACATTTATTTTCAAATTATACGCAAATGATTATTATACATTTGATTCAACTAATTTTAATTATGTATTGAATGATGGTAGGTTATATATTTTATTTGTATATTTGTGCTAGAAAACTACCTACGTGTTTAAACCAGTTAATATCATGGCTGATATTGTTTAAATTCAAGACGTTTATAGACATTATGTAAGAATTTTTAAAATTCATTTTCTGAGTTTAATAATGAAAGAATAATAAGTGATCAGGAATTATAAATAGTGATCAGCAGTGGGATATATGTTATATCTTAGCGAAGATTAAACTACGAGTAACTTCTGAGAACTATTAATGGGCCAATATTATATATATATATATATATATATATATATATATATATATATATATATATATATATATATATATTCTTATTGTATAACCGTTTAGTAACTAGATTATGTATATCTATATTCCTCTTATTATAAGCTTCATTTCGACCTATAGATCATTATTATACGATTTACTGTTCCTAAGTTATGTTCAGTTTATTGATTATAGTCTCCCACGTTCTCAGCCACATTTTCGCTTGATTTTGTATAAATGTTATATTTTATAAAGCGATGCTGTTTGTTTGGCTGGTATATAAACCAAGTATGTTTGAAATAAATGATTCGCATAGTGGAAGCTGTTGTTGGCGTTCTGAACTCAAATGGACGCGTTAGGCGAACAAAGGACCAATAAGGTTGCTAGGCTGCTCATACCGTTCGAACGTCATTGGTTTAGCACAGTACTAAGAGTGAATAAGTCGTATTCCGATTGGCGAATAAATTACATGATAACTAGCCGAGCCTAAACTCCGCCTGTAGCTCTAATAGGGTTACTGCCGGTCCCAAGCCCGGGTAAAGGAGGAGGGTTGGGCATGGGGTTAGCGTCCCCATCCCGTAGAAAACTAACTCGCTAAAAAAACGCTTACCAGAAAAAATAATCCAAACCATTTAAACTCTGCCCTGGGAGTTAGAAGGTCTTCAGTTAGAAGAATTATGACGCTTCATGGTGAAAGCCGAGTTCCTTCGGAAGCCACGAGGCCGATGCCCCTTCTAACAACCAGAGCAAAAATTTTTATAGGTACATGGAACGTTCGAACAATGTGGGAAACCGGGAAGACCAGTCAAATAGCAATGGAAATGAGGAGATACAACTTAGCAGTACTGGGAATCAGCGAAACCCACTGGACCCAAGCTGGACAGAAAAGGCTAGCTACGGGAGAGATGCTGCTATACTCCGGTCACGAAGAGGACAATGCTCCACACACTCAGGGAGTCGCTCTTATGCTGTCCAAAGTAGCACGAAATGCACTTGTAGGATGGGAGTCTCACGGATCCAGAATCATCAAAGCATCATTCAAAACAAAGAAGGAGGGGATCTTAATGAATATTATCCAATGTTATGCACCCACCAATGATAGCAACGACGACATTAAAGATCAGTTCTACGAGCGGCTGCAGTCAATCATTGAGAAATGCCAAGAAAGGACCTAACTATTCTGATGGGAGATCTAAATGCCAAAGTCGGAATAGACAACACCGGATATGAAGATATCATGGGACGACATGGACTGGGAGAAAGAAACGAAAATGGAGAAAGATTTGCAAATCTATGTGCATTCAACAAATTGGTCATAGGAGGCACAATATTTCCACACAAGCGTATACACAAGGCTACATGGATCTCACCGGACCACACTACAGAGAACCAAATAGATCATATTTGCATCAACAAAAAATTCCGAAGGACAATGGAAGATGTGAGAACCAGGAGAGGTGCTGACGTAGCTTCAGATCACCACCTAGTTGTAGCCAATTTAAAACTGAAGCTAAAAAAGAACTGGACAAGTGGACAAACAGCACTACAAAGGTTCAATACAGCCTTCCTTCGAGATACTGACAAACTCAATGAATTCAAGATAGCTCTCAACAACAGGTTCCAAGCCTTACAAGATCTACTGAAAGAAGAAGAAACTACTATGGAGGACAACTGGAAAGGCATCAAGGAAGCATTAACTTCAACGTGTCAAGAGGTTCTGGGCCTAAAGAAACACCATCATAAGGAATGGATCTCTATAGAAACACTGGACAAGATCAAAGAAAGGAAGAACAAGAAGGCAGCAATTAACAACAGCCGAACACGAGCAGAGAAAGTCCAAGCACAAGCTGAATACATAGAAGCAAACAAACAAGTGAAGAGGAGCATTAGAGCCGACAAGAAGAAATACGTGGAAGAACTAGCAACGACGGCAGAAAAAGCTGCTAGAGAAGGAAATATGAAACAGCTTCACGATACAACGAAGAAACTAGCAGGGAAATACAGTAAACCAGAGAGGCCGGTCAAAGACAAAGAAGGCAAGCCAATCACCGAAATTCAACAACAGCGTAACAGATGGGTAGAATACTTCGAGGAACTCCTGAATAGGCCGGCTCCAATGAATCCACCGGACATCGAAGCAGCACACATAGATCTTCCTATAGATGTCAACCCACCAACGACGGAAGAAATTAGAATGGCCGTCAGACAAATCAAGAACGGGAAAGCAGCAGGACCCGACAACATACCAGCTGAAGCACTGAAATCAGACATCGAAGCAACCACAAGCATGCTTACCTTCTATTCAAAAAGATTTGGGAGGAGGAACAAGTGCCGATGGACTGGAAAGAAGGACACCTCGTCAAGATTCCAAAGAAAGGAGATCTGAGCAAATGTGAAAACTACAGAGGCATTACACTACTGTCAATACCAGGGAAAGTCTTCAACAGAGTGTTGCTGAACCGGATGAAGGATGCAGTAGACGCCCAACTTCGAGATCAACAAGCTGGATTCCGTAAGGATCGGTCGTGCACAGACCAAATTGCAACACTACGGATCATCGTCGAACAATCAGTTGAGTGGAACTCATCACTATACATCAACTTCATTGATTATGAAAAGGCATTCGACAGTGTAGATAGGAGGACATTATGGAAACTTCTTCGACACTACGGAGTTCCTGAGAAGATTGTCAACATTATCCGGAACTCATACGACGGACTACAGTGCAAAGTAGTGCATGGAGGACAGCTGACAGATGCATTCCAAGTAAGGACTGGAGTCAGACAAGGCTGTTTACTCTCTCCCTTCCTCTTTCTTCTGGTGGTCGACTGGATTATGAAGACCTCGACATCTGAAGGAAAACACGGAATACAATGGACAACTCAGAATCAATTAGACGATTTGGACTTCGCAGACGACCTAGCCCTCCTATCACGTACACACGAACAGATGCAGATGAAGACAGCCAGTGTAGCAGCAGTCTCTGCATCAGTAGGCCTCAGCATACACAAAGGGAAAACCAAGGTCCTCAAATTCAACACGCAGAACAGCAATCAAATCACTCTTGATGGCGAAACTCTGGAAGATGTAGAGTCCTTCACATACCTAGGAAGCATCATCGATGAACAAGGAGGTTCAGATGCAGACGTAAAGGCGAGGATCGGCAAAGCAAGGGTCGCATTCCTACAATTGAAGAACATATGGAACTCAAAACAACTTTCAACCAATATCAAAGTGAGAATCTTCAATACGAACGTCAAGGCAGTTCTACTGTATGGAGCTGAAACTTGGAGAACTACAACAACCACAATCAAGAAAGTACAAGTATTTATAAATAGCTGCCTACGCAAGATACTCAACATCCACTGGCCGGATACCATCAGCAATAGCCTTCTGTGGGAGAGAACAAACCAACTTCCAGCTGAAGAAGAAATTAGGAAAAGACGATGGAAATGGATAGGACATACATTACGCAAACCGTCAAACTGCATCACGAGGCAAGCCCTAACTTGGAACCCTGAAGGGAGGCGAAAAAGAGGAAGGCCAAAGAACACATTGCGTCGGATTATAGAAGCAGATATGAAAAGGATGAATTACAACTGGACGGAGCTAGAAAGGATTGCCCAGGACAGGGTTGGATGGAGAATGCTGGTGAGTGGCCTATGCTCCTTCACGAGGAGTAACAGGCGTAAGTAAGTAAGTAAGTAAGTAAGTAGCCGAGCCTAAAGTCACAACAATATGCAGGATTTGTTTCATTATATTTCAATTTTTTAGTTTGATATACTTATATTAGAATTGATATTCTTACTATAATTCAAGCTCAATACTCATCGCTTTAAACGTCAAAGGTATATATTATCAGCACAGTCATCAGCTTACTATGAAGTACATCATAAGAGTTAAAGCTTTTGTTACTACAAAATACTTACTTGTTTTAAATAATTTTACAACATAGTGGAAATTCCCATTTTAACTTCTAGACCACTGGGCCAGTATCCATTGTTGTACATGCCATACTTTAGTCAATCGCAATATTATGCGAGCAGTATCCATTGTATTCAGCTGTTACCTTTCTCATACCCAAAAAGATTAAACTCCACTGGCGGATGTACGCCCCTGCGAAGTCCTATACTAGTATGAACCAACAGTTCAGGGCCTCCAGGTTTCAAACAATTATCTAACTTAGATCGGTTCATGATCAATAACCCAACAGTGTGTCAGTAATTTTCACAGCCGCCATAATGATAAAACTATGATATCTTTTCTTGGAAAGTTAAAATGAATCAATTCTGTTCATCATATAAGAATTAATTTTAAAAAATGATGAATTGTTCATTCACGTTGTCGATTATCAAAAATACCAGAAATACATTAATCGCAAAAGCTGTCGTACAATTATCATTGTAAAATTATTTTTTTGTATTCTCGTACATTCTACTCATTTTAATTGTGTTTGAACATATGGACTTTTTAAGATGTAAGATGAACTAAATATGATACAACAAGTTACCTCATTAATCTCTTTTACATCAAATCAGTACCTGGTATCGATCCCTTACGTCATTATCCAAATCATAATTGTCCTAATCGATAATCTTAGAAATGACTCAAAAGCACGTCTAAGATTTTCCTATCTCATTTAAAAATTTAAAAACACAATACAATTGATTTAGTCTACTTTATGAATACTGTAGAATTAATGTCTTCTGTTAAATATTTGATTGAAGCTAGAACGTCCGCACTTTACGACCATCACATTAAGCTCTGCCACTGAGTTTATTTAATCCAGTGATTAGTCTTTACAGTTTAAGTCAGTTCTCCAAAAATAAACTTTTATCTTCTGTTGCTAGAGGTTATCTGTCACAATTGATATATAATTTATTCTACTTAGCATAAATCCCTATCCTAACTCCAAGACATTCGTAGAAAAGCAAGTAGCCAATCATCATTTAGTAACTGTTATTTAGAAAATCTGATTGGTGCTTTCAGCTTACTTAATCTTAACAATTAACGTCTTGACTTTATAACTCATTGACCCTCTAAGTTTTTATTATACGTTTACTCTTTTAGAGGAAATTTATTCATCATCAAGCGATCAAGTATTTTCTGTTCAAAAAGATCAATATTACAATTGTACTAAAGCAATAAAAATTGAACTTCACCCTTCGGACCGAAATTATAGTACAGTACGCTTAATATTCAAAAGTCTTGAAGTCGAAGCCTTTCGGGAAAGTCCTGGAACTAGTTACGTTGGCAAAGGTTAGTTTTAATTGTGAAAAATAATCTAAAAGTGCTTTTTATCGATAGTTTTCCAATGATCTCTTTTCTATAGTGTAATGATAAGATAGGGTTGATCTACAACAATGTGACATATCTGTGTCATAAATTTGAAAGTTTGGCCACATGTGTACTTGATATGGCATTTATGTATAAAAACAATGACCTCCGATTAAATATACATTTAATAAACAAAGTAGTGATTGGAAACGAATAATGGAAATGTATAATATGGTATGAAAAATATTAGTTGTAGTCACTCTGTGACTAAGAATAGAGAACTAGGGTAGAATCAATGTTAGAACAATCTGTATCCACGGACATAAAGGTAGTCTGAGTTTTCTGACTACCAAAGCTTTTTTAGTCGTAGGAACGTTCTATCACTCCTCTCTGTGTTTGTTTGTTCACCCATACATATGAATTGATTAATGCAGTGTTCTGTGATGTAATCTTTTACGAACAATATCTTGAAAACCAAGCGAAATTTAATACAAGTAAATGGTATTTTAACTTTTAAATTTAGTTTTACGTTTCATGTCTTCACTATTAAATAGAATCACATTGTTCCAGTGATGATAAAGAAAGTTTGACATACATCATTGTGAGTATATCTATCTTCACTATGGCTGTGGTCATGATATTCGTCTTGTGCTTAAGCAATGATGAAACTCAAATAGTTGGAGTTGATCATTATAGATAATACAATACTTTAAATTACTGACTAACTTATCGAATGATGAACCTGTTCTCTTAATGCAATCAATTTATTTCAATAATTGTATTTTATCAGTTTGTATTTAGACGTGTACGTTGTTTTACTTACTAAACATTTACGTCTAGTATCTTTCATACGTTACAAATTATTCAATTTATATATAAACTTATTGTTTGAACCCCTGCATTTTCGATATCATGTTATTCAGTTTAGATAAAGCTGAAAGTTTTTTCAAAATCAGTTACCAGTTGATTGCTTTTTCAAATTTCTGTGAAATTGAATCAGTAATGAGTGAGATAGTCAAATAATAACAGCACCGAATGATTTCCATTCCAAACAATGAATTGTACATTAGCGTACCGTTTGAATGATCTGATACTCACATTGTGACAACAATTTCTAAGCTTGATCCATGTAGGTTATTAAGTGGACACAATCGCGAATTCTAAAGTTAGAAAGTAAGAGAGATTCAATTTTGCATAGATTTAAATAGTCTTTCAATTTATATTTATACATGATAAAAACTACATACTCACATGATAGGGATCTCCACATACTACTTAAATAATCTAATATCACCTTCTAAACATAACATTTTTAAGAAAATTCTTATAGTTTGTATGGGCTATATCCGTATAAAACAAATTAAGTTTTTAGTTTCTTACTGTGAGAAAATAACACTGGATAAATCATAGGAATTAATAAATCATGAATGATATGAAGTTTCATGAGGAATTTCCACTTCTAGGATAACTTACTTACTTACGCCTGTTAATCCCAATGAGGCATAGACAGACGACCAGCATTCTCCAACCCACTCTGTCCTCAGCCTTCTTTTCTAATTCCATTCAATTCTTGTTCACAATATTAGGATAATATTTTGCCTTTGTAAAGTCCACCAAATTGTCTAACAACACAACTGAGTTACGTGTAAAATCGAGGTTCAAAAAAGATTTATCTTCAAAACAGTTCTTTTGGCGGTATATATATATATATATATATATATATATATATATATATATATATATATATATTGCTTACTCACTTACGCCTGTTAATCCCAATGGAGCATAGACAGACGACCAGCATTCTCCAACCCACTCTGTCCTCAGCCTTCCTTTCCACTTCTATTCCATTCTTGTTCATTCTTCTCATGTCTATTTGCATTTCTCGGCGTAATGTGTTCTTTGGTCTCCCACTTTCCCATCGACCTTGAGGATTCCATGTGAGGGCTTGTCTTGTGACGCAGTTCGGTGCTTTCCTCAATGTGTGTCCTATCCACTTTCAGCGCTTCTCCCTGATTTCTTCCTCCACTGGGATCTAGTTTGTTCGCTCCCACAATAGGTTGTTGCCGATCGTGTCTGGCCAACGGATCCGAAGTATTTTGCGTAGACAACTGTTATTAAACACTTGTATCTTCTGGATGATGGATTTTGTAGTTCTCCAGGTTTCCTCCACAGTAGACAGTAGAAGTGTCTTGACATTTGTATTGAAATTTCTGACCTTGGTGTTGGTTGACAGTTGTTTTGAGTTCCAGATGTTGTTCAGTTGTAAATATGCTGCTCTTGCTTTTCCGATCCGCGCTTTCACATCTTCATGAGATCCACCGTGTTCATCAATGATGCTGCCCACATATGTAAAGGTTTTTACATCTTCCAAATCTTCTCGGTCAATTGTGACTGGATTGGTGCATGCTGTGTTGTATCAGAGAATTTCGCTTCTCCGTTTGTGTATGTTGAGATCCTGGTGCTGCTGAGGCTGCTGGTACACTGGTCGTTTTCTCCTGCATGTTTTGTTGCGTTTGGGATAGGAGGGCCAGATCATCTGCTTCTAGGATAACTGGAGGTGGAAATAATAGTTTTCATGAACTGTCAATGAATAGATGTTTAAATCAGTGAAATTGTGTTTAATAATTTGAACAAAAATTAACTAGGCTGAAGTGTGAATTCTATTTTAGATAAAGAAATGTGACTCTATAAGCTTTTTGATTTGCCTTAACATTTTCATATTTTCAAAGAAAACCCATTAAAATATACTTTCTTAGAATGATAATAAGCAATAAGTAAGATCACCAAACTTTTGTACTTTAGATTTCTTTTAAGCTTTACAACAGAATTTAAGTAATAAATCTACCGTTCAGAGAAAGTTTTAAAATACTAATTTTTTTTGTTTTGCTTGAAAAGAAAAAAGCAATCATATCATTCGTATAGTAACAACATATTATATAAACGTGCAACCTTTAAATAAACGCACTTAAAATGTTTGTCCAAAGTTAAGAAAGTTTAGTGAGTTTTAATTGACTACAGCTGATATCGACGGGGAATTATAGCAGCTTCCACCACACCTCCAGATAGTCTATTTCGTTTAGAGATTGAATGAATCATTTTAGTCTAGTCACGTATCTTAAATCCTTTTGAAGTACTTCGTAATCTGTGACTTTGTTAACTAAGTCATGTGCGCTTTTACGTGTTTGTTTTATGTTTGTCATCCATAAAGTAACTAGTTATCAGCAAATTATGCATTATTCATTTCTATGTAAAGTATTAGTCATCTGTTATTCGCTGAGTAGGCTTGTTTTCATTCTTCTATTTTCATCTCATGTCTTCTTACTGTTTAAGCATGAATGTCTGAAATGAAATTCTTCCGTCTTAATTCACATTTGGCATTTATTACCACTGTTAGCCCAAGTATAATATACGGGATTAAATAGGAAATTTATATTTTATTATCAGTATGGGGTTGTGGAGATTGTTGGGTTTTTTTGCTTGAGATCATGAACTGATGAATGTTATACCATCATTGAAAACCTGGAATCACTGGACGGCCATTTCGTCCTAGTATGGAACATTTACACCGTTGGATACCGGCTCAGTGGTCTCGAGGTTCAGATGCGAGACCGAGTGTTCTGGGTTCAAACCTCGCGTGTGGGATCATGGCTGTGCACTGCTGAGGAGTCCCGCACTGGGACGAAAAGGCCTTCTAGTGTTTCCAGGTTTCTAATGGTGGTCTGACATTCATTAACTCATGATCACATCAAGGATTGTATTCAATTGTTCGGCCTTTATCGTTTATAATGTATTTAGTTATGTGCTACAGAACGAACAATTATAATAATTAATTTTTCATGCATTCGTCAACCTAATCACTTGTCACAAGATCACGAGTTTGTAGGCCGTGCTACGAGTCTCTCACATTTACTAATCAGCTTACACCAAACGCTTATCAACTTATCGACAACCTCCCAAATATATCTTCTAACTCATTCATTTTTGACTTCCGAGTTGATTGGGTTGGTATCCTTTGATTTTAAAGGCATTGCGGACAAGAGCGTTGTCAAATCCTGAGTATCTGAGGTATATACTTTGTGTTACTTGAAATTTAGTGTTTCTTTCGATACAGCCCTGGTCATATCTTTTGGTTTTACATAACTTTTTTATTGGTACGAACTAATGATTCCTTTGTACTTCACTACCTGCTTATTACCAACTACAAGCATAATACGTTCATTTTTGCTCATCTAGTTCTACCTGCCTGAAATAGCATTATTTCGGGGATTCTCAGTAAGCATGTTAATTTGAACACTTTCAATTATCAAATGGAAACACTACTAGCTAAAAACAATCAATCAGCCATACTAGATGATATTTTAACTGATTACCAAACACAGTTCCTATCCCTCAGAAGTTAAACGTTCAGTTACCTCCGCATACAACAGAATGAAGTGTTTTTACCAACCATTATTGCCTACTTTTTTAAGTGACTCCGGGAACATTATATTATAGATTTGGACACTGGTGTCGTACACCTCTAACCTATCCGAATCATTTTCACTTTACTAAGGAACAGAGCTTATTATTTTCTTCATACATACAGGCTATTTTCAAAAGCATTCTGAGAACGTACGTTTGTGCAGGCATATATGACGGCAGTTTAGTATTGATGAACTATGTGCGGGAGCTAGTATGTAATAGTTTATCAAAGTGAAATTCGAACAGTTCAGTAAAAGTTTGAAGTGAAGAATAGCACATAAACTTTGATTGCAAAATGTACTGTTTTTCATCTCTGTATATTGAAGCTACTTTGAGAAGAGTAGGAATAGTTATTTTGCGTTTGAAAAGTTTGTTTCACCAAACCAGACTTACGTTCTAAAATATGTAGTTAGGCATTGGATTTTGAATTCCTATATGAACTTCAAACTTACTTGAATTGATAGCATAAAATATTGTGGCCTACATCAAAGAATGATGAAAGGCATCAGCTATGTTCATTTTGAGTTGTCTGAAAGGCCCTGGTTGCCAGATAAATGTGGTTTTTGTGATAACTGATAATTTTTGCACGCCATGATTCAAATTCCAAATATAAACATTAGAATGTGCCCATGGAATTCTCCTTGGCTTAGTTACTGTTACATACGCAACTACTACAGCGGAAATTGGACAGCGAGTGTTAATAGTTAACATACTTAAATCAGTTACTTCTGGTGAATGCAGTAAGACGGATGGGTTGATAGTAGGAATAAACATAATTTAAAGCAGAACCGCAAATACTCGTCAATCTAAAACAAGGTTTATAAAATGCATACTACTTAACGGCGATAAGTGATGCTTAAATTGGTAAACGACATATGGGTGTATGTAAGTATTTACCCATGCATTTACTACTACCACAACGCCTGTAGCTCTCCTGGGGTTACTGCCGGTCACAAGCCCACACAAAGCAGGAGGGTCGGGCATGAGGTGGACAACCTCATGTCGTTGAAAAAATATCTTGCCATAAAAAGGGCAACCAGATTGAGCAAATTAAACCATTTCAACTCTGCCCTGGGAATTAAAGGACGTATCATGAAGCCGAAATTCTTCAGAAGTTACAAGGCCGATGCACGTTTTAACAACCAGAGCAGCAATTTTTATAGGTACATGGAACGTCCAGATAATATGGGAGGCCGACAGGACCAGAAAAATAGCAACGGAGGTGATCACATACAATGTGGCAACACTCGGAATAAGCGAAGCCAATTGGACCATAGCTGGATAACAAAGGCTGGATACGGAAAAATGCTGTTGTATTACGGTCACGAAAAGGAAATTGCTCCACACACTAAGGTAGTTGCTCTGATGTTGTTCAAACAAGCACGAAATGCACCTGTAGGATGAGAATCTCATGAATCCAGGACCATCGAAGCATCCTTCAGAACAAGAAAGGAGGGAATTACGACGAATATTATCCAGTGTTATGCACCCACCAATGATAGCAACGAATCGCTTCTATGAAAGCCTGCAATCAGCCATAGCGAAGTGCCCATGGAA